GATGAGATAGATAGATAGATAGATAGATAGATAAGTAAGATAGATAGATAGGTAAGATAGATAGATAGATAGATAGATGAGATAGATAGATAGATAGATGAGATAGATGAGATAGATGAGATAGATGGGGTAGATGGGATAGATAGGATAGATGGGATAGATAGGATAGATAAGATAGATAAGATAGATAAGATAGTTAGATAAGATAAGATAAGATAGATAGATAGATAGATAGATTAGATAGATAGATAGATAGATAGATAGATAGATAGATAGATAGATAGATAGATAGATAGATAGATAGATTAGATTAGATAGATAGATAGATAGATAGCTAGCTAGATAGATAGATAGATAGGTAGATAGATAGATAGAAAGATAGATAGATAGGTAGATAGATAGATAGATAGAGAGATAAAGAGATATAGAGAGAGATAGAGAGATAGAGAGATAGAGAGATAGATAGATAGATAGATAGATGGATACATAGATAGATGGATAGATGGATAGATAGATAGATGGTTAGATGGATGGATGGATAGATAGATAGATAGGTAGATTGATAGATAAGTAAGATAGATCGATAGATAGATAGATAAGTAAGATAGATAGATAAGTAAGATAGATAGATAGATAAGTAAGATAGATCGAAAGATAGACAGATGGATAGATAGATAGAAAGAAAGATAGATAGATAAATAGATCGGTAGGTAGGTAGGTAGGTAGGCAGGCAGGTAGGTAGGTAGGTAATCAGAGAAAGACAGAGAAAGAGAGAGAAAGAGAGAGTAAGAGAGAGAAAGAGAGAGAAAGAGAGAGAAATAGAGAGAAAGAGAGGAAACCTTAACCACCTTTCGGTCCATCAGTGGATTCGCTCTGCCATCCGTGATTCACAACAAGCAACCTCTCCTATAGGTTTCCTATTTTGGAAACTTCCGCCACCGCCTTGTGCGGTATTACTGGTAAAAATGTTACTTTGGCTGAATTTTAGGTTGAGAACGGTGATGGAAATTGTTGCGATGCAGCCTTTGTTGATGGACAACATCCCTCCAAGGATGGAGTATCAAGATTTCAGGCTGATAAAATTACCCGGTCAAACATGGCGTGCTGGAAGGTCCCCATTTAGTTTGATGATTTTCCCAGCTATAAACCATCCATTTTTTTAGTTCAGGTACATGTATGTCGTTGAAATTCCTTGGGCCAAGTACTTGGTCATGGTTGTCTAGTAAATGAGACCATCATTTAAAAACTTGCAGATATAGCTGTCTTGAAGGCACTTTGCCAGCATCAACTTTCCCATCAATATTGTCCCATTGTATCTATGTACATACACAATTTTATAGTTATTTATGTATACCGCATTCCATGAAATCTCAATTGTTCTAGATTATGTACATATACTACAATCTATACATGCATATATTAGTTCGGTAATGAAATGGGGTAGCGGGCGTTTCTCAGGTTTTACGTGCGGCGCTGCAGTGACCCTGTCGGGCCAATTACCGGAGCGGTTCATCCGCGCAAAGGTCGCCATGAGTGAGTGGCTTGGCGGGCTTGGCGGCCTGGCGCCAGGAGTTTCATGGGGATTTCATGGGATTTTACCAGACTCCTAGCTCAATCTTGGGGTAGAAACTACCCTCTGGTAATGACTAACAGTTGCTATTGAAAATGGCCATAGAAATAGTTGAATTAGCCATGAAACATGTTGATTTTCCATAGCTATGTTAGTTTACAAGAGGGTAGTCCTTTAGTCTCTTGGTATGGGATTATCTACGTTCACCAGCTAATGTAGTTTTGTGCATTGGCCATGAATTAATGGGATATTAGCAGGGATATTTAATATGAGATAATAAATGGAATAATAAACGGTATATCCAATAATTTCATCCATACATACATAAAATAGTAGATATAAATGGTATAGTATATTAACAGGGGAAAAAATGCTTTGATTTCTGGGCTGCACAGATTCCCAAGCGCCTGGTTTCCTCTCAATGGCTCTTTTCCAAGTTCAAAAGTTTTGGGAACTGATGTTCATCGGTTTGGTTTACAGTCAAATTTTCAGATCGGTGTTTTTTTTGTTGCTTGAATTTATATATGTTTAATTATGTTTATTGCTTAAATCGTGGTTATTATAGATCACCGAAGCCACCCTCCAGGTTCAATTTTCTGCAAGCGGTGAAGCAAGCGATCCGCGCGATCGGCAATGGCCAGGCAAAGTTAGCAGCTGGTAGGTATAGGGATCAGCAACGCTGGGGGAAGTATCATGTTGCTGTTAAATGGATATCAATGGATATCTAACATATCCCCAAGGGGCCCATGTCCTCTTAAAAATCAGACAACCCGGGTTGTCCTCTTAAAAATGGGAGATTCATCATCCAAAAACTGAGAAATCGGAGATCCGGTGGGATTTGGAGAGCGGTTTGGAGCGGTTTAGGGTTTCAAGTGTTCGACATTGTCATTGGGAGCCAATGAGCTACCCTCGAGTAATTTCACAGCTTGCTATTGAAAATGACCATAGAAGTAGTGGATTTACCTATTGAAAATGGGTGGATCTTTCCATAGTTATGTAAACGTTTACCAGAGGGTAGTTTCCCAAGTACATGATACTTTTGGATGTTTCTGGTGGGTTATGTGCGATTTAGGCCTTGGTTTTTCTTTGGGGGACCATCTTAGCTTCGCACTTTAGCATTCATCATCCGTGTAGTGCAATGGTACAATACATACATAAACCCTCTTGTAAACGTTTACATAGCTGTTGAAAATCACCATGCTATTAGTGGGTCAATCCACTATTTCTATGACCATTTTCTATGTTAAATTACCGGAGGGAAATACAGAGATGTGCAACCATGTTTGTATTAAACGACCTCACGTCGTGACGTCATTGGAATGGTGGTTAGGATCATAATGTACTGGGGTAACTAGCCCAATATGATCTAACATTTCAGCTTGGTGAATGATTATGCTTGATCCACCTGTTGGGAAATAAACCTGCCCAATTTGGTTCCCAGTTTGCCACTTGGTATTCAAAAACCATACCCCAAAAAACCCAAAAATGGGGTCACATGATATTCCGTACCAGGATTGCGCCCATTGCAGGATCGCCATTTTTGCGTGAACATTGGTTTTATCTAGCGTGCTGGGAGCAACCTCATTAAACTAACTGACAGATTATCCAGAACTATGACACCCTACTCATGTTTGTGGTCACAGATAACTAATTGACACCCCATTTATGATTAGTTATATTTACACAATACTACAGTATAGATATACATATACTATACTGCACCTATATATATATTATATACAATATATATATATACAATATATATATATAATACACAAAATAAATAAATATATACATTATATATATATCATATGTATATACATACATAATATATATATACATTATATATATATCATATGTATATAGATACATAATATATATATATACTATGTATATATATATATATATTGTATATATTTATATATTTTGTGCATCATATATACTATGTATATATATTATATATATATTATGTATATATATATTATGTATATATATATATATTATGTATATATATATATATGTATTATGTATATATAGATTTTATGTTTATATATAATTATGTATATATATTTATTATGTATTTATATATTATGTATATATATATTATGTATGTATATATGTATATTATGTATGTATATACATATTCTGTATATATATATGCTATGTATTAATATATATATATATATACTATGTATATATATATTATGATTTTATATATTATGTGTATATATATTCTGTATATATATATATTATGTATATATATATATTGTGTATATATATATATTATGTGTATATATATACTATATTATGTATATATTTTTATATATTGTATATATATATAATATGTGTATATATATATTGCATATATATATTATGTATATATATATATTTATCTTATGTATATATATATATTGTATATATATATATAAATCTTATGTATATATATATATATTGTATATATATAGTATGTATATATATATGTTTTGTTTATATATATATCTTATGTATACATATATATATTATGTATGTATTTATATTATGTATGTATATAAATATCATGTATATTTATATAGATATAGTATGTATATATTTTGTGTATATATATTATGTATATATATATTATGTATATTTATGTTTTGTAAATAAATATATATATATATATTATGTACATTGTATATATATATATATTATGTATATATATATATTATGTGTATAAATATTTGTTATGTAGACATATTTATATTGAGTATATATTTATATTTTATGTATATATATATATTATGTATATATATATATTATGTATATATATATTATGTATATATATTCTGTATATATATATATTATGTACATTGTATATATATATACATTGTGTATATATATATTATGTGTATATATATTTGTTATATAGACACATTTATATTAAGTATATATTTTTGTATATATATATATTATGTATATATATTTATTATGTATATATATATATATATTATGTATATATATATGTTTTATATATATATTTTATGTACATTGTATATATATATATTATGTATATATATATGTTTTGTATATATATATATATATTATGTATATATATCTATATATATTGTATATATGTTATATATATAATTGTGTATCCTCATCAAATCCCATGACAGCCCATTCAATGGACATCTTACGGCAGGGAACCGAGCTGGATGGCATCACGCTGCATGCAGCAGGCCCTGGAGCGGCCTCGCTCCGGTGTAGCTCCGCAAATATCCCCGAAGGGTCCAAGGGTTTGATGGGAAAATATTGGGGAAATATAGGGAAAATATAGGGAAAATATAGGGAAAATATAGGGGGAATATGGGAACATCATCTGTAAATGGAAATTTTAATTGGAGAATCTATGAAAATCCCATATTAGAATTGTGGTTTGCTGGGAAAATCATCAAACTAAATGTATGACTTTCCAACCTGCCCTGTTTGATTACCACATGATACACATTTCTGCTATTAAAATTGTTGTAAGTGGTGTGGGGCTTATGATGGGGTTTACAACATGAACACTTCTATGACATGGAGATATTGTGATGAGAACATTCTCCAAAATCGCTGACTAGCTGTGAACTGCAGGGCCATGTTGGCAATGGTAGAACCACCATGGTCTCTAAGGCCAATGCGGCAATGCTGGCCACTTCTACTTGATTGAACTGAGTTCAATGCAACCCGTTCTGTCCCCAAGTCCAATGGATGTGATTTTGTCCTATTTGAATTGATGTTCTTGGGTACTTCATTTTAGACAAACCGAACTGGCTCAAAATTTGTTGCTGAGAAAATGTCGCTGACTGGATCAATGGCTTTGTTTTTTTGCTAAGCGGAAAACAAGGACTATCAGGGTCAGTAGTTATTTTTGTATATAAGTTGAGGGTCATGCACTAGCTGGAATGATGACCCTTTGGGAACATTCAACTGACCAAAAAAAATGATGACAGGAGGTTAGATAGTTTGAGAAAACTGCTATTTATGTACCAATACGTTATAATATGGTTCATCTAATTCCTATTAATCCCTTTGCGCTAAATACCTCCATAGGGTCCCGGAAAAATGATTGGATTCAATACTAAACCAGGGTTTCGATTGCATGGTAATATTATAACCCCAAAAAGAAGATAGAACAGTAGTTTACCACAGTAGTCAATATATAGTATGAACATGCAATACCATGTCAATAACATGCAATACTATAACCATGTATTGAACATGATAGAACAGTAGTTTCGCACCATGTCAACAAAAACATCGGATTTTACTAGACGATGGCGCCCCCCTTCAGATAGCGTAGCTCAGTTGCCTAAAAGAACAGGCTGAATTCGATGGTTTATGGTAGATATAACAAACTAGTTCATGGGGTTTATAAAGCAACTTCTCGAGGGGCGAAAAACCATCCACAATAGTTGGGATATAATTGTTTCCATCCCATTTTGAGACCATAGTAATATACTGGTTGGTGGTTTCAAACATTTTTCCATATGAGAATAATCCTTCCCATTGACTTTCATATTTTTCAGAAGGGGTAGGTCAACCACCAACCATGTAATTAATATGTGATACATAAGCCCAATAAGATTAGTATGGATGAGATTTTACTAGTATAAACCATAGTAATAGTGTGATACATCCCATTTTCAAATAAAACCATAGTAATATATTAGTAATTCTTCTTCAAAGTGGGTATAGTAATTCTTCTTTCCCATGGGATTTTACTTCTCCGCTGACCAGGCCACCAGGCACTGCCCTATCGCCAGCTGTGTCAAGTGCGGGTGCTGGACGCACGGGCTGGACCCGGTCGGATTTTTTTCCCACGGGAAAAGTGGGACTTACCCTTTGGTAAACTAACATAGCTAGAAACCATCTTTGATAGGTAATCATTCATAAATATATATATATATGTATATATATGGTTGGTGGTTTGGAACATTTTTACTTGTCCATATATTGGGAATTTCATCATCCCAACTGACTTTCATATTTTTCAGAGGGGTAGGTCAACCACCAACCAGATATATATATATATATATATCACCTTTAAATGGGTGAAAAACGGGTTACCTTCTGGTAATTTGTTACAGTTTGTTAATTTTCAGCCATGGCACATGGAAATAGTTGAATTAGCTATTACCCTCTGGTAAATTAACATAGCTATGGAAAATCATCATTTTTAATAGGTAAATCAACTATAAATGGGCCATGTTCAATAGCTATGTAACAAATTACCAGAGGGTAGCTATTAAAAGATGGTGATTACCAGAGGGCTTCGGCAAGAAGTTCATTGGGAATTCGGACATCCAACAGGGAGATATGATTGGGATATGATGACGGGAGATATGAAGAAATCTGGTTGGTGGTCACTGGAACATGTTTATGACTTTTCCATATATTGGGAGTAGTAACCCCAACTGACGAACTCATATTTTTTCAGAGGGGTTGGGTTGAAACCACCAATCAGATATTATTCCATGAAATATCATTGGATATGATGTACACATATGTACACAGTTTTGGGGATTTGAAATGAACTTACGCCGATTGAAACTAACTGCAAGAAATTGGATTGCAACAACCAAGAACAAAGACTAGATCCACAAAAATGGGAAAATGTTTCATGATACTATACCATCATGGATATTATACCATCATGATTGTTTCTTGGTTGCTACCCTTCTTAAATAGTATGGTATAGTATGTTTCATGATTCAAACAGTCGAATCTTAACGTTGTTTACAATACCATCATGCCACTGTGGCCTCCAAAGGGTTAATTCGCAATTGGCAATTGATCTTCAGCCAGCGATTGCGATCTTCAGAAGCCTCTGTATTCATGGATCGATGTTTGCAAATAGTGATTGATTAATAGTGATTAATAGTGATTAATAGTGATTAATAGTGATTAATAGTGATTAATAGTGATTAATAGTGATTAGTGGTGATTAATAGTGATTAATGGTGATTAATAGTGATTAATGGTGATTAATAGTGATTAATGGTGATTAATAGTGATTAATAGTGATTAATAGTGATTAATAGTGATTAATAGTGATTAATAGTGATTAATAGTGATTAATAGTGATTAATAGTGATTAATGGTGATTAATGGTGATTAATAGTGATTAATGGTGATTAATAGTGATTAATGGTGATTAATGGTGATTAATAGTGATTAATAGTTATTAATAGTGATTAATGGTGATTAATAGTGATTAATAGTGATGAATAGTGATTAATAGTGATTAATGGTGATCAATAGTGATTAATGGTGATTAATAGTGATTAATAGTGATTAACCACTAAAAATCACTATTGAAACATCGGAAAATAGGTCGCTGTGCTGTCATTTTGCACGGTGCCCCAAAACGGTTTTTGTGGTTTCAGCCCGTGACATTTTGCTCGTGACATTTTGTCAAAATGCCACGCTAGTATCATAAGTTTGAAACGAGTTACCCTCTGGTAATCATACAAAAAACTATGGGAAATCACCATTTAATGGGAAAACTCACTATTTCTATGGCCATTTTCCATGGCTATGGTAAATAAGCAGAGGGTAGTTTTCCAAAAAGAACATCTGACATTTTTCTGCGTGAACCAAGATATCAAAGTCCAGACACATACCCTCTGGTAATTTGTTACATAGCTATTGAAAATCACCATGCTATTAATGGGAAAATCCACTATTTCTATGGTCATTTTCAATAGCTATATAACAAAATTTTGAAAATAGGGTATATTCAGTATATTCCCAATTATAGCCATTTAATAGGGATAATGATCAGCAAAACCATTGGGTTTAGGGATACACGACATTTTCAGACACACCCATATGATCCAAAACCATGAAAAGACAACCAGAATTTTTCTACTCCGCGCCTTGGACAAAGATGTTCCTGCTGGGAACCTCTAGGGGAACCTGAGAGGCAGCGCCGATACGTTCCTCGTGTTCCTTAAAGCCTCATGTTTGGAACACGCAGATATTTACAATACCCACTTTGGAGAAGAATTACTATATATTAAACTATGGTTTTATTTGAAAATGGGATGCCCGAAATGTTGACAATTTAGAATCAATGATATTGTGGATGGTGCCCCCTCAATTATCAGTTGGTTACAACCTCATTATAGATAATGATATATCTAACATAAGCCCTTGTTACTGGACTCTTGTTCACCAACTTAGCTAACGACCTGGGGCACCATCTTTGAGTATATTAGCCACTATTAATTAATCTCTACAAATCCCTATTAATCACTATTAATCACTATTGATCCCTATTAATCCCTATAAATCACTATTGATCCCTATTAATCCGTACTAGTTCATATTCGCCATTCCTTGGGTATTAAGCCCAGGCCGCCTCCGACCCGCCAGACAGCACAGAAAAACTGAGCGTTGCACTACGGCGCTTGGCCCTGGCCTCGTGCGTCGCTCGGATTTGGGGAGACCTATGATGTAATGGAAACCTCCAGCGATTTCTACAAATCAATAGTGAAATGGTAAATAAACATGATTTTGATATCATTAAAATCAATGATGTAATGGATTGAAATGGTAAATGAACATTTAAAAAAAATTGATACAATTCTCCGTAGCAGGTGTTGAAAATTCTTGGTGTCACCGAATTCGTAGGATATCATGGGATCAGTGGATTCAATGGATTGGTTTTTGTTGGGAACATCTTAACCGGAAAGCATCGGATTTTCCCACGAAAAAAAAGGGGGCTTTTCCGGTGAAAATTTTCCCTTAATAATCCCAGATGATGCAATTTTCACTAAATTTTCCGGTTAAACCAATCCATTGATGGATGCAAGATCTGACGTCAGGAAACTGGGTCAATCTTCGGTCGTCACGTCGTCGAGCCGAAGCGAAGATCGATCTCCCAGGGCCCTTTGAGTATCCTAAATCAGGTTTGAGTAACTAGGATAGAAAACCAGATAGAAAACGGGCAAATCAAAATCCTTTATCTATATTTTGAGACATCCTAAATATCCAAATCCCCACTATCTGGAACCCATGATTTGGCCAGATTTAAGTTCGGGTTCCAGATGCTGTTCTATGTCTTGTTGTTCGATGACAAGGTAGGAATTTAACCCACCAACTTCTGAGTTGAATGATGACTAATGCAGCAAAATTGGGATATTTGCTTGGTATCGCCCTCAAAAAAATTGGCATATTTGGTAAATTTGGACGCCTGTGTCTTTGGTTCACCAAGATGTTGCAAACTCTTGACACCATCCACCAGCAACCATGGCAATGGGAAATCTTAACTGTGCTGTGTTCCAGTGCCAGGTTCAATTACCATGGAGTAGATCCATCCGTTTTTGGGTGGGTGGCAACGGATTGTTTAAACCCGCAAAAATATTGTACTTGATCATCTGATCAGCGTGTCACAGTTCCGGGATGAAATCCAGTGAGTTAGAAAGAATACGTCGGTCATCCCAATACCTTCAACTAAAGATTGGCTTTGTAAAAATATAATCTATAATCATGTATATATATATATACATGTATATATATGTATATATATATATATGTATATATATATATATATATGTATGTATGTATATATATATATATATATGTACAGTACATATATATATATATATACATATACACAAGTAAAAAAAACAAGTAACATTTACAGACCTCTAACATCTCAAGGAATGTCCGTTTTCCCCAGGGGATTTCCGTGTCCAAGGATGCCCTGGTGGTGCACCTTCCACCGCTTCCGGCGAAGGTGGCGGTCTCCGCGGTGGCTTCCATGGTGGTGCTGCCGCGCGGGGCAAGGACGGTGGTGGAGGTGCCGTGGTTACGTTCAACCCCTGGTTGATGATTATAGTGGATAATTAACATGAGTATCTATCTGTGTTCAACATGATTTATTATGCAACCATGAAACATCATGAAACAATAGGAATTCAATATTCAATATTATAGTATTTCAATATTATGGCTTTTATCAATGGGAATCATGGTATAGGGCATAGGGAAATCATCCCCCTTTATGGCCGAACCATTCTGGTTAGTGAAATATTGTAGATTTACCCAGATATTATGGGTTTTATGCAAGCATGAAACATCATGAAATTATGGTTGATGATTATAGTATTTCAATATTATGGCTTTTATCAATGGGAATCATGGTATAGGGCATAGGGAAATCATCCCCTTTTATGGCCGAACCATTCTGGTTAGTGAAATATTGTAGATTTATCCAGATATTATGGGTTTTATGCAACCATGAAACATCATGAAATTATGGTTGATGATTATAGTTTTTCAATATTATGGCTTTTATCAATGGGAATCATGGTATAGGGCATAGGGAAATCATCCCCTTTTATGGCCGAACCATTCTGGTTAGTGAAATATTATAGATTTACCCAGATATTATGGGTTTTATGCAAGCATGAAACATCATGAAACTATGGGGCCATTAGTGGATAATCATGAAGGATAGTTCATTCTTATGGCTTTTATGTAACCATGACAATATTTCTGGGGGTATAAGTGGATATAACTGATAAATGATGCTTGGTTCGTTGGAAGGGTTGGATGAGTCTGTGTGGAAATCATGAAACAATTTGCCATGGTTTGTCGATGGCCCATAGAAATACCCTCTGGTAATTTAACGTAGCTATTGAAAATGACCCATTTATAGATGGTTTACCTGGGTTTACCTATTGAAAATGGTGATTTTCAATAGCTATGTTAAATTACCAGAGAGTAGATGGTTTACCTAGCTATAAAATGGGTGGATTTTCCCTGCCAAACTGTTAGTCATAACCAGATGGTATAAGAAATTGAGATGATGAGTATCATTCACTATGGTTTAGTTCATCATCAACTGCCAAAAATAGAACTAAACTATGGTTGGTTTATCATTAACATTGACTATAACTACACTTTAGGGGATGTTTATACTGTATTTGTGCATCTTTTTTGGGTCAGTTTTTGGAGTTGCATAGGCAGGATGATATGGGATTCCAGTGGGGTATTTATATACACCCAATAGTGGGATCGGAACATGAATTTTATTTTTCCATATATTGAGAAGAATAATCCCAACTGACTAATATTTTTCAGAGGGGTAGGTCAACCACCAACCAGTATTCAATTGGGAGTTCATTGGATATACGAACTTGAATGGGTTTCGATGGGAGCCCAATAGAACGGGATATTGATCTTTTATCTAATGAATCAGGTATCCAATACAGTATTTTTGATGGTGTCATGTGTTTTTTTTGGGTATGGATGGAGGACAACTATGATTTATAATTCATTGTTTTGGATTCGGAAACCAGGATTATTGATTCATGGTAGTGATTACAGACACCAGGGGTGCTGAGATTACCAGTATATTATCTCCATCCAGATTTAGTGTCAATATGTTCTTAGATTTTGTAGTGGATATATTGCTTTAGTATCTGCAATATAAATTTTGTTTATGATTATTAGTGATTAGTTATCATTCTATGTTGTCAGTAATGACTACTCTAAATTAGTATGGTACTGATATTGATTCATGATAGTTGAGGCTTGACCATTGTTAATGATATAATTATAGTATAGTTGGTAACGATATCTAAGGATAAATATGAGGGTTTTTCGAGAATGATGACAGACACTTAATCACTACTGGTCCAAGAATAGGATTATTATTGACTATGGGTCTAGGACGATTTACATTGCAATCACTAATCCGATGATGGGGTTATAACCCAGTAGTATTGGTTACTACAATCACTAATGCAATCACTAATACTACAACCACTACTGGGTTACTATTGGTACCTTTAGTGTTATAAGAATACCAACAACCAATATTGTAATCAATAGTAATTGCTCCTTCATTGTCACCTATATTACTATTATAACTAATCACTACTTGGTATTCACCTTCCTTTGTTGGTGTTTATTGCTACCGACTTTCGGAGGATTCTGGGGGAATCAGTACCAGCATCAAGGTATGGTCCGTTGTACAAGGGAATTTGGTTGTGTTTCCCAACGTTGGTAAGGAATGGGGATATGTTACCTATGAGAAGTAATGTTGGTAAAACAAGAATTAACCATGCCCAATTTCACCATTTTTACAGGTGGGATTTCAACCATTCCCAAATGGGTGGTTTATGGCATTGTTTTAACCACAGTTTGCTATGGAAAATCACCATCTTTAATAGGTAGTCATCCATATATATATATATACACAGCTATTGGAATTTCATCATCCCAACTGTTACTCACTCCATCATTTTTCAGAGGGGTAGGTCAACCACCAACCAGATATATACTATATATATATATATATCACCTTTAAATGGGTGAAAAACGGTTTACCCTCTGGTAATGACTTGGCTACACTTTGCTGAGGCCATGGCCTTTAAAAAAAAAAATGTTGATGAGTTTTCCCATTGAAACAGTGGTGATTTTCCATAGTTTTTTGTAAACGTTTACCAGATACCTATGAGAAGTATTGGGTTAAGGGTAAATGAATGTGGAGAGTACATGATGATATGATGAATTCGAAGTCTCAGCAACAGTCGGGATATAGCTAGATTGACAAAATGGTCAGAACCCCGTGTTGTAAACAATCCCTAGAGTAGACCCCGTTTGAATTACAATTTGGGAATGTTACACACCTCGAAATACTATTTATTGGTGATAAAAACCAGGGAGTTGACCACCTTAGAACATAACATGAAAGAATTGTGTGACAAACGGTCTGTTTCCCATTTGTGCGTTTAGGAGAATACATACCCAAAAACGTACAGTTCCCTTGTTTTTAGCTTATGGATCTGGGTGAATTCAGATCCCCCAGAACTGGCTCAAAACCACTGGTGAATCCCATCAAAAAGCTAGGTGCAACGCCCATCCTTTGCCTACAAAAAGCTCTCCATTTTTTATTTCAGAATAAAACACCCCAGATATTTCACTATAGTTGACCATAATTCACCATAATTCACCATAATTCACCATAATTCACCATATTTTTAGTATTAAAACATATGAAAATTCACCCAAAAAAAATACCGTCCATCAGCATCCCGATGTGGCCGAGTCAGGTCATCAGCATCTTCCAGAGCGGTTTCATGGGCGCTCCAGCCACCTCTGGAGCCTTGCTCTTGGACGAGATCTTCGAAGTCCGAACGCCGAGTCGTGGGCTGGGCTGGAGAACGGTCGTTTTTGTTGATCGAAAAATTGAATGGTTTACCCTCTGCTAATTTAACATAGCTATTGAAAATACACTATTTATAGTTGATTTACCTATACGGCTTTGACCACTTGGAGCCGTTTTGCTGTATAGGCCTATGCCATTTCGTCGACACAATGTTGAACAGTTGCGGCTGCGGTTTTACTATAGGTAGGCCAGCAATGCTTATTTGATCTCATTTGGCTGGACATTTTGTTTGGTCATTACGGGTAAAGATGGGTAAAGTTAATATTTGATCCCCCCAAATGCACGTTCCAATTCCGTATTTCTGATCGGACAAGTTTGGGATCACGGTCTTGCAGATACCATAAATGTGTGGGTTTAGATCCAGCGCTGGGGATACACACCAGGACTGACGTTCGTTGATTGGAGAACAATCGAATATGTTGAACCCATTGGTAAAACCGAGTTTGTAAATGACGAAATACACAAATGCTAGCTGGTATAGTATCGAATAGTATACAGCTGCACGGTATACTGTTGGCTTCGTTACACTGATCGCCCAACGCATAATTTTTGGCTCAGTTTGGCTCAGCAGTCCGTCAACACAGCACCATGGCACTTCGCGCACTTCTGCTTCTGGCGCTCCTCTCCCTCCTTGATGCCAACGGTACTCCGGCTCCGCGTGCTGCCAACGGGACTCCCCGTGCTGCCCACACACGTCGCTGCGTGGCAACGGGGGCAACGGGCGCAAGGAGGTGAACGGCAGTGAGGTGCACACCATGACGACCAACATATCCAGCAGCAACGTCACCAGGAAATATCCGTTCTTTGAGTGCTGTGTGTCACGTTGTAATTGTGACGAATTTTGCTGCGATACGGAACTTTTTCCACCGATTCATCATCCAGACATCCTGAAGCCTCCATACATCCCGAGGCCACCGATTCATCATCCAGACATCCTGGAGCCTCCATACATCCCGAAGCCTCCATATTACATCTCAACGCCGGTGAACGGCAGTGAGGTACCCAACACCATGGCGACCAACATATCCAACATCAGCAGCTACGTCAGCGCCAGGAATTTTCGGCCAATTCCTTGAAATCGGAGGCGATCTTTGAGCCATTTAAGTGCAGCCAATGTAGCAGTGACCAAAGCCTAGCCTAGCATGTTACTGTATAGAATTTCTGAGATTTTATAAGATTTGATAGGCGGTTTACCTTGATGAGCAGACTTTTCTGATCCGAAATTTTACTATCAATGTGAGACTTCCAGTTAGTCATCCAGAAGGGCATGATGCTGTTGGACACTGCTCATTTTCACACAGAAGTGTGGGCTGCCGAGGCGTTCGCGAGAGGGAACGCGACAGTGCTACAATTGTCACTTGCGTGAATATGTACAGCAACCCCAAGTCATAGATAGACGAGTTGGAAACATTTGGCAACATTTGGAAACTCCAATAATCTCCAATACTAGGTACTGTAATTAAATATCATCTATATATGTATATATCATTCTATCACATAATGGAAACACTTTTCTATCTCTTCTTGGTTAGCCATATACAGTAGGCATGTTTGATCATTTTTGTGTCAGCTTTGCACAGGAAGTGTAACTGTACAGCTTGCACAGGAAGTGCAACTGTAGAGACTACTCTGACTATGCTGGTGATGCAATTTACCTGCGGAGATCGAAATTACGCAGAGAATGGTGATTTTCTATAGTTATGTAAACGTTTACCAGAGGGTATACCTATAAAAATGGTGATGACTGGGGGATGGTGCAAATGACATTGTTTTACCCTCATTAATGACAATCGTTATTTTCGCAAAAAAAAAAGTGGATGGCACCTTGGGTGAAACCACCAAAATAGAGCTGTGGAAGATGAATTTTACAGACATAGCAATTTTCCAGTGCCACATGTCAGGATTCGTTTTTTTTGGTCTGCAAGTATGGACAGTTTCTCTAGTGAGGCACGGCCATAGCCTAAGAAATTGACAATTTCTGATCACCATGCTAACGGGTTACAAGGCATTGGAATTGGGCAAACTCATTTCACACAGCGATTAACACTTATTCACACCCTCCGACCCAGATCCATGTGTAAAGCATCCACAAAATAAGCACTGATCAGATACTAGCAACAAACTAAGATAGAATAGAATGAATTGGTATAATATCAACCAAGACTTATGGCTGTTTGGTAATCATTGTTGAAAGCAGAAATTGTCTTGGCCCCCCATTCTCGATGGTACTTGCACATTAAGGCTAATTGTGAAGCCCTTACTCCAAAAATTGCAATGACATACTTACTGTATAGCACCACAAGAAAAATCGAGATAAACAGTCAAATTCTGCTAAGACAATGGCGAATTGAACCTGTTTGCCGACTTTTTTGGGCCTTGCATCCGTTTGACTCCACGTACTGCCGCATGCCGCAGCTGTAGAAACAGAGGGTGCCTCCAGCTCTCGGGACCCGAAACGTGGTGGCTATGGCGGAAGATGACCTGCAGCAGCTTCAGAAGTGGATGGGCGAAACGCGAAGCTTCGTGTTGGGAGGCGGGGTTTTCTATGGCTGATGAGGGATGATGATGATGATATGGGGCTGGAAAAATGGAGAGATTTTTCTTGGCAAAATGGTGTTCTTGAAGCAACAAAATAATAAGAACAATATTAATAATAACAATAATAATAGCAATAATATATATATATATATGTATTTATATATAATTATATCATTAGATCATGAGGGGAACAAAGTGCTGGCAATTCACGTATCATACTGTCACCGGCATTGGAACAGGACGATAATCCCGCAGAAAGAGCCTTCTAACCAATGGAATGAATAATCCAAGCATTGGGGCTTGAGATTGAAGCACCATCTGAAGATCAGAAGCAAAGTTGAAAACCTTCAACTGGCCGGTGAGTTCTAATTTTACATTTTGAGGGGCGATTGAAGAAACCAACCAGCAGATGGCCAGCTTTAGCATTTCATCCAAAATTTGGTGATCATTTTTGAGAATATGTGGGTGGTAAACTGAAAAGCGAAAAACAAAATGCTGGTTATTAAACTGGGTCTATCACTAGTTGGGTGTATTATTGGTTTGAACTGAAGCCCCACGCCATCCCACGCCTCATTCCACCATGTAGGACTTTTGATGAACTTAGACCTAAAACAAGATCGGGGGGGTTTTATCATTTGGTTTCCCACATTGGTGAAAAGCACTTAACATTTAAGCCGCTGCAACATCTTGGAATGACACCAGAAGCCAACTGCCAACGCCTCCAACTGCTTGGGAATATTTGGGGTCGCAAAAATCATCAAAAATAATCAAAAACATGTAGTTATTCTTAACAAAATGGATTAGTTTGAAAGAAACCCAATCTTGGGATATAGAACTCACTATCCATGACCCCCACGAAACTGATCCCATCATCTCGGTTCAAAAGATGTGACGGACGCCCTTCATCCGGTTGATTTTCCGGGGGGAGAACTGCAAAAGAACTACCCAGAGCAGTCAATGGCCATGCAACAGGAACCGACTGATTGGAGGTACCTACCATATAAAAGGCTTATATAATATAAGGCCTATGTAAGGGAATATCCCCACAAAAATTGCCTTATATGGTACTAACGTACCTCCATTTTAGGATCCTGGAATTCCATTGAATTAGGCGCATACAACTTCCCTTTGGATCTATTTCTCCAATTGCCATCATGGTGTACACCCTGCAACGAGGGAAGATTGGAAAAAACCAGCTAGAAATCCCATTCAAAGTTGAAAGCGACTTAGCCGGCGATCAACAAACCGCCTACATTTATGTATTGGCTTATGCCCATCACAATCCCATGTGTTTTCTTGTGGGGAAATTTATCCCATGATGAAGGCAAAATCCTAATTATACAGTACCCTCTGGTAAACGTTTACATAGCTATGGAAAGATCCACCCATGTTTAATGGGTAAATCCACTATTTCGACTGGGCCATGTTCAATGGCTATGTAACAAATTACCAGAGGGTAACCATCACCATTAACCATCACCATTAACCATCACCATTAACCATTATTAACCATTAACCATCACCATTAACCATCACCATTAACCATTATTAACCATTATTAACCATCACCATTAACCATTATTAACCATTATTAACCATTATTAACCATTATTAACCATTATTAACCATTATTAACCATTATTAACCATCATCAATCAGCATTAAACACATGTTTAACCACCATTCACCATCACTATTGTAGTGGTTGGGGGATTCCCAGGATCTCATATTGAGAAGGTGAAGTTACACAGCCATGCATAAGCCACGATGATTGGATATGAGATATAAGCTCTCTACCGTTGCTTGTATACCAGCTGGGTAATTAATAAAGAATTCTTGGTCAATCGTTAATCTGGAATTGTTTTTAATAGCAAAATCATGATTCACCAGAAACCATCCTTGACTAATGGGTTGCAACCTGCCTTAAAGTTTATCATTCACCGTCATTAGCCATCATGAATCATTCTTATGTACTCATCATTAACCATGACCAGCCATCACTATGTCACTATGTAATCATCACAAACCATCAACCATAATAACCATCAGTGATTCTGGTTGACCATCATACTTGGACAACAATTATTGGTTCATTAAATTAGCTCAAACAGTACTTCAATGGGAATTTCAGGATCCAACAGATGGAGGTACGTAAACGTACCATTTTGCAGGCCATATTTTGTGGGGATATTCCCTGAAACATAGGCCAAAAAAATAGACCTTTTTTCTATGGTAGGTACCTCCGTCCTCAATCGGTTCCTGGCCAGCATGGCCATTGATTCGTTACCAATCCAGCGCCGGGAGCAGCCGTTGGAGTTTCGCAAAAACCATGATTGAGTTATATGAAACATCATGAAATTATCGAAAAGGCATTGTTACCAATGATGTTTTTAATTCATGGAATTTAATAACATCATTAATTCGAATTAAATTCTAATGATATACTAATCATGGATTGTATTATTACTATTAATTCATCCATTCTTGGAATTATACAATCAGTTTTGCTGGTCAAATCCCGATGAAATGTACCCACGCTGCTTCCCAACGGGAGTTGTTGTTTTTCAACGGACAGGTGGCACGAGCATCGCCTGGCGTGTGGAACAGCTGGAGTTGTTGCTCAACCTGCTGCGCGAAGAGAAGGTGGGATTTTATCAACGAAGATGTGGAGCTTGAACCAACAAAACTCGGATTTACCCTCTGGTAATTTAACATAGCTATGGAAAATGGCCCAGTTATAATTGATTCGCCTATTAAAAAAGTGGTGATTTTCCAGTTCGTTATGTAAACGTTTACCAGAAGGTAACCCAGAAAAGTGAGGTTTTTACCAGTAGATAGGAGATTTTAGCAGGTTTGAACCCACATGGAGATTTCACCAACATGCTTCAAACCGGGATGGATCAAGATGTTCCCATTAAGATGATCATGAAAACTTTGGAGTCCACCCCGAAGAAGGGTTGTTTGACCAAAACCGAAGATATAAAAAATGTCATGGTTCAGCAAATTAGTATATATATATAGTATATATATATATTAGATTCTTATGTATATATATATATGCAAAAAAGAGACAGAGGATTTTAAGGGCGCAAAATAGAGATTTGGCCAACATGCGCCCGAATCCTTAACGGTCAAGAATGAAGGATTCAACCATCAAGTTTTGTGGTTTTAACAACCAACAAATGAGGTTTCCAGCAGCAACAAATGGGGATGCAATCAAGAAAAACCCACTGGTGAACCTCGGCTAATTATTTTTTAATTATGGTTAGTTAATATTAATTCATTTTATAATATCATGTATAATATAGTGTATAATATAATTTGTAATGTAAGTTAATAATTATAATATCATTTATAGTTTGTTCTGTTGTTTTTTTGGGCGTATTTTTCGCTGAAAGAGATACACCACGTTGTTTCCACTTTTTGTATTTTTTTTCAGAATTCAATCCAGGGGTGGATAGTCTGATACTTTAGCCATGATGGGATGATAGGATGATATGTTTTTTCAATCATGTTTTTGGTGATTAGCCTCAAAGCTGATCCTCTCCCATCATCCTATCGGACTTGAGGGAGAATCATCCAGTCCCAACACGTCGATTTGGGGTGCCAAGATGTATGGGCGTTATATGATCATTTGCCAAGATGTTACCCTCTGGTAATTTAACATAGCTATTGAAAATCACCATTTTTAATGGGAAAATCCACTATAAATGGCCATTTTCAATAGCTATGTTGAATTATTAGAGGGTATTTACTCTACCAATGACGCTGCAAAATAAGGCATTGGAAAAAAAAAAGGTGAAGGTGATTCTGAGGTTCTACAACAGTTGGGGGGATTATACCCTCTGGTAAAAAAAAAAAAAACATAGCTATTGAAAATGGTGATTTAGTTCGTGGATTTACCCATTGATAGCATGGGCGGATCTTTCGCAAAATGTCAACGTTTACCAGAGGGTAATGATGGTGAATACTGGTTGACAATGGGACTATTTTGGGATAATCCCAATTCTTGACCGTTGCATCCCCATACTTTTCAGATCGTTGGGGATTTTCCCTCAAACCAATCCATCTTTTCACATCATGTTTCTTGGTTAAATATATGAAATCCCAAGTGTTATTGCTTACCCTCTGGTAAACTAACATAACAATGGAAAGATCCACCCATTTTTAATGGGAAAATCCACTTTAAATGGCCATTTTCAATAGCTATGTTAAATTACCAGAGGGTAAATCACATGTTTTCCTTGTTAAATTGCCACTTTTCTTGGTACATTTTCTCCATTTCCACGCCACGAAAGCGGCTGGAGGATGCCATTCTGAGTGCCTTGGACGACGACTTGGGTGCCTTGGCATGGTGACGGCGATGGAGATCCTTAACCAAACAAGAACAAAACATGTTGAATATCTATGTGTAATTATCTGGGTAAATTACAACTATTTAGTTCGTGGATTTACCCATTAAAAATGGGTGGATCTTTCCATAGTTATGTCAACGTTTACCAGAGGATATCTATATATATATATGGCTATGGATCAATACCTATAGATACCATTTTTAGGGGGATGAACATCCATTTTAACCCAGCTATTTTGATGTGAACAGAAGGGGTACAAGGTTTTGACACACTGCCATGTGTAATTATGTGTGTTTTTGTAGAAATAGATTTGTTTGTACTATATCTGGTTGTTTACTTGTATATATGTGTTATGTAATCTACCTAATCTATCTAGTTATCTTTCTTTCTTTCGTTCTATCAATATGTACACACATCTCCATAAGGTAGTAGAATTGCAAAAACACCAAACAATGAGTATATGACCTAACAATAATCCACTATTTGATGGGAAATGCCTACCCTGGATTCATAAACATCTGATTGGTTTAGTTGGAGGTTTTGATACAAAGACATGTATCCGTGTATGCAGGTGCATACAAACAATCTGTGATTTAGGAAGACTCATGAACAGTTGACATGTCAATTCATAGTATGAATCAACGTTGACAGGCATCTGGTGGTTTTTGGGTACCTAAAAAAATACTACTTCTTGGGACTGCAAGCTCAGTCAAGTCGGGGGGAAGGATTGTTGATTCTCAGTGAGGTGAAGGAATTTACTACAGAAAATAAACACCGTTTCAGGTGATGTTTCAATGGCCATTTCAGGAACCTAAATTGGAGGTACCTGCCATATATAAGGCCTATTTGTTAGGCCTATGTAAGGGAATATCCCCACAATTCATATGGCCTGAAAAATGGTACAGTAACAGTACCTCCATCTGTTGGATCCTGAAGATCTCCCATTGAATGTTGAAACCCACCAAAACTTGGCAAAGACAACAATTGCTGATCATTCATGTGATCTCCAAATGGGTATGTCTGAAAATGGGGTATACCCCCAATGAAATAGCCATTTAAAATCGGGATAATGATCAGCAAAACCATTGGGTGTAGGGGTACACTATTTTCAGACAAACCCAAATGTTTGCCGATGGTCCCCTCTAAGAATTTTTGCTGAAATTCTCAGTTGGCGTGAATCATTGATCCCTTTTTGTTGCTGATCAATTCCCTAACTGGTTGGTGGTTTCAAACATTTTTTATTTTCCATAGTATATGGGATAATCCTTCCCATTGACTTTCATATTTTTCAAGATTGTTAAAACCACCAACCAGCCTAATTCTATCAGAGCAAACTCTGATTTCTGGCTGTTGAGGATCCAATTTCCTTTCTATCCCAAGTCTTGCGTCATTTTCGCTGAATCTTGCGTCCCCAAGTTCTGCAAAAATTCCTCTCCAAAATCTTGCTGATCACCACTTTTTTACTGCTAAGATCCTCACCTAGGTACATCATTTGTCATCATTGGTTCATCATTGATTTCATCATTGGTTTCATCATTTTTACCGGGTGAACTCAGCATTTTTCCCAGGAACGGGTGCGGACGAGGGACAAGCCTTGGTCTTGCAGCTGTGCCCGCTACTCCTGGAGCGCGGCGCGGAAAGCAGTTGTGGAGTTTCGGGATACATAGATGAGGGTTCCTAAGAATGAGACTACGGTATACAGGATAATGTCAACCCCGGATTAATAAACCATGGTCATTCCCCCAATAGTCATGATTTGATACTTAAATGGTACCTTTCCAATGAAACAGCCTAGGGGTTTATTAATCCAGGGTTGACATTATCTTCAATAGTTTATTTGTGTATATATATATATCCTGGATATATCCATATAATATAAATATCCATTAATATCCGAAAAAATATTATTAGTATCCATTTTTAATTATTTTAATTCAATTGGGAATTCCAGGATCCTAAAATGGAGGTACGTAAACGTACCATTTTTCAGGCCATATTGTGTGGGGATATTAGCCCTTACATAGGCCTTATATATGGTATGCATGGCCATTGATATGGTATATAGGATCTCTTACAAACTGGGAAACATTAGGTCAATTTTAGGATATAATACATAGTATATAGAATCTACATAGACCTTACTTGTATTATCTATGGTATATAGGATATCCCATAACTATATAGGACATTCCATGGTTTATAGGAAGTTATAACAATACTGGATATATATGGGGGATCCCATATCTATGGTATTTTTGGTATATCATACATAGTTTATTTGGTTGGTGGTTTGGAACATGTTTTATTCCATATATTGGGAAGAATCATCCCGACTGACTAATATTTTTCACAGGGGTTCAAACCACCAACCAGTTATTTATGGGAAGGCTATGTTATAATTATGTATAACTAATAATAAACCATAGATGTCGGAATTATAGATCTGGAGGTATAGGCTAATTTATAGGAGTTATCTATATAACTATATGTATAACTGGTGACTCCAAATACCAGAATTTTTCAAGACGGTGTGAAGAGTTACTGATGTAAACCATAACTGATTGATGGTTTGGAACATGTTTTATTCCATATATTGGGAATAATCATCCCAACTGACTAGTGTTTTTCAGAGGGGTAGGTCAACCACCAACCAGATGTTCTTGCGATATAGTGGGACATGGTTTTCTACAGGATGCACAAGCGACAGTATGAGATTGTATATTGTCTCAAACATGGTCCTTATGTCTTGGCAGCTGTGGAAAAACCTTGATCAAGCATGAAACTTTGGGGTACCCTATTTGCAGACAAAACCAGTTCTTTGCTGCTTGATGGGGAAAGTGACAAAATGGATGTTGACAAGGAATGATGAGAGTTGAAATCGAAAACAAACATGCATTGTTTGACATCGTTTGACCGTTGGTTGTTTTAGACTCTAAAAACATGTGTCATTCACAGCATCATTACCACAGACTGCTGGATTTCCACATGGTTGGCCAGCAAATTCCCAAATCAGTGATACCACCAGAACTTCATGGATATGTCTGAAAAAAAAACTATCCCCAACTAACCATTCTAAGTGTCTATATTCAACAACCATTGGATTAGTTTTTTATTTTTTGTTTCATGGGGTGAAATCGCATCTCTTCATCCATGGGACCATGGGGGACAATCACCATGAAATCCAATGGGAGATCTTCAGGATCCAACAGATGGAGGTACTGTTACTGTACCATTTTTCAGGCCATATGAATTGTGGGGATATTAGCCCTTACATAGGCCTTAAACAAATGGTAGGTACCTCCGTCCTCAATCGCTTCCTGGCCGTTGCATGGCCATTGATCCGCTCCGTGGGTTTTCAGGACGTAAAGGAGGCGATCAACAACTTGGAATCCTGGAGCAGAGCGAAAAAAGTGCCTACCCCACTGGCCTTGCAACCGGCCTCCTGCTATGTGCAAGCGCAGCCAAAAGGAGTGACTTAGCATTTGGGAGCTATAAATATCTGATTTGGAGATGGTGGGGGTTAAAGTTAAGTAAAATTTGGGATGTGTTCAAATTCTGATTTATAAAATTCAAATATATGTTCAGTTCCATTCTGATTTAACTGGTGTTGCGATGGCAGATTTTTCGGGGGGGTTCAAGGTTCCTGCTATCCGCAAACGTCACCTTTTGGGAAGAAAACTAGGGTGATTCATCACTGTTTACACCGCAGTATTCTTTTTGACTTCAAAAGAACGGATTTACTTCAAAATAAAGGAAACAAAAACATACATACATACATGTGTATATATATATATATACACACATGTTTATACATATACATATTCAGAGACTCCCCAGCTCCTCTCAGTTTGCCACAAACGCTCAGGCTGTTTTGGTGATTGGCGCTTGGAATTATCCATTTAATGCACCCCGACCGCAGTGGGAAGAAGAATCCAACGGCAGGGGTCCAACTTACACAGCTCCTCCGACCCGCTGACGCATTCTATGCTACAATAGGCGCTTGATCCAATGATGTAAAGTAAAGAAATAGCGGTTTCTCTATCCAAACAATTGGACGCAGTTACACCCAAAAAAGACAATATTTCCAAAGAAAAAGCGCAAAATTTCAAATTGTCTGCCATTTGCCTGAAAGGCGTCCCATGAAAATCCCTACTTTTCACATGCTATTGTTTTTTTGGAAAAAACAATCTCTAAAACTCCAAAGGTTCCATTTTTACTGCGATTCTTCCGCATCAATTCCTGAAACTTGTCCTTACTATTTTCAATGGATTGGTTTAAGGGAAAACCTACAGGAAACCATCCATTTTCCCATTAAATCTGGGGCGTTCCTGTAAAATTTCCCTTAAACCAATCCATTGAAATTTTCTAGATACAATCCACCCAACTTCCCAATTGTTCATCCAAGTTTTATGGTGTTCCCCCGATTTGTCCCACTCAAATCCACTCAAACTCCCCCCAAAAAAAAACATGTTTCCCAGATGTTTCCGAAGAAAAATCGATCCAAATTTCCCCAAAAACATCCAACATGACGCCAAAATGTTGCCTGGATCTTTCCAAAATCCACCAAAATGTCGCAAAATCCCACAGTTTCCCCGGATTTTCCCAGGTCTTCCCTAGATTTTCCCAGGTTTTTCCCAGGTTTTCCCCAGCTTTTCATCCCCGTCCGCGCCATGCCCCGCAGGTGACGATCAACCCAGTGGTCTCAGCACTGGCCGCGGGCAACGCGGTGGTGGTGAAGCCCGCGGAGTTGGCGCCGCAGAGTGCGCAGGTGTGGATCTAGGGGACTTGAATGGTTAATAATAGTTAATATCCCCATTAAATCCTATTAAATGATGGTTAATAATAGTTAATAATAGTTAATAATTAAGTTAATAATAGTTAATAAATCCCATTAAATGATGGTTAATATGATAATTTTCCATATTGAAAATGGTTAATCATTGATTGGTTAACCATAATCAATGTTAATAATAAGTGATGGGAATAGCTAATAATGGTTATGCGTCAAAACCCGGGTACGTTAGATACCCTCAAATAGCTGGTTAATGGATGGTTACCCTCTGGTAATTGAACAGTTAGCTATTGAACATGACCATAGAAATAGTGGATTTACCCATTGAAAATGGTGATTTTCCATAGTTAGTAGTTAATAATGGTTAATAATGGTTAATTAATCAAGGTTAATAACAGTTTGCTATTGAACATGGTGATTAATATAGTTAATAATAACCATTAATATAGTTAATAATAATCTGGTTGGTGGTTTGAAACATTTTTAATAATGATTCATAATGGTTTGGAACATGTCCCTGGTTGGTGGTTGGTTAATAGTTAATGCTTAATAGTTAATGTTCTTTACATTACACTTTGCTAATAATTGAATATTCATTGAATAAGAATTGATTGGTCAACCATAATAAATGTTAATAATAATTAGTTGACGGGAATAGTTAATAATGGTTGATAATAACCATTAGTATAGTTGCCCTCTGGTAAATGAACAGTTAGCTATTGAAAATATGGTGAGTTTCCATAGTTAATAATAATTTATGGTTAACAGTAAATAAACCAATTTATACCTTTTATACATCTGGTTGGTGGTTTGGAACATTTTTTATTCCATACATTGGGAAGAATCATCCCAGCTGATTAATATTTTTCAGAGGGGTTGAAACCACCAATTAGATAATAGTTGATGGAAATTGATGGTTAGAAGATGTAAATAACCATTAATATAGTTAATGGGTAGTTAACTGCCAACTAATAGGTAATAACAACCACTAACTATTGAAGGGAATCGATGGTTAATAAATGTTTGTAACCATTAAGACTTGAATATAAATTGAATAATAATCAATTGGTTAACCATAAATATTTGATGGTTAGAAGACGTTAATAACCATTAATAGTCGATGACAAAATATAATAATAACAATTTAATGGTTAATGATTGATCATGATTGATGGTTAATAACCATGAATAGTTGATGGTTGATAGTTAATAAGAACCATGAATAGTTGGTAACCATTAATAGTTGATAAGAACAACCATTAATGGTTGGTGATTGATAATGATTGATGGTCAGTAAATGTGAATGGCCATTAACGGATGGTTAATTGATGCTAATAACCATTAATTAATATAGACGATAATAACTTAATAACAACCATTAATGCGGGGTTTATGGTTGATGATTAAAAATGATTGATGGTTGGTAGTGATTGATGATTAATCATGAACAATGGGTTGCAATTTTAATAACCATTAATAACAATAGCTGATTAATCATGTTTAATCATCAACCATTGTTGATAAATGTTAATATCAATGAATAGTCGATAGATGTTGATAGTTGATAGTTAGTTTATAATAACCATTAATATTTGATGGTTTATCGTTAATTTTCCATAACTTTGGGTAGTTAACTATCAACTAATAGGTCATAACAACCACTAACATTTGATGGGAATTTATGGTTAATAAATGTCAATCACCATAAATAGTTGATTGTTGATAGTTATTTACAACCACCAGTAATGGCTAATGATGATTGATGGTTAGTTTTCCATGAATATTTGATGCTTGATAGCTAATTGTCCATAATATTGGGTAGTTAACCATCAATTATAGTTAATTATTACGATCTATTAACTAATAATCTATTTGTAATGGCCAGTGACAGTGAAAAATGTGGTTTAACTGGATTTAACTAGAATATATAGGGATATAATGGGCGATTATTATCCATCACCAACAATTATATGGTTCATAATTTTCACAATGAATGATAATTTTAGCATCAAGAATGGTGATTTTAACTATGGGATATGTTTTAAGGGGTACCCTGGTGTAAACTAACAAAAAGATGTGTAAAATCATGGTCTTCCCAGGAAAATGATATATGCAAATTGTGGGTTCTCCACATCTATGTAAACGTTTACCAGAGGGTAATATTTCATAGTTGTCAAATGTTGTTAACAATCCCCAGGATATGGCTAGTAAACCTATTAATGGATAATAATAACCATTAATTATCATTAATTGATGGTTAATACGCACCATGAATGTATACTAGACCATTGTATTATTGGGATTATTAAGACCTGGGATCGCTTATTATTGAATTTACCACATTATTTAATCAGCCTTAATGGTTATATTGCGATATGGTGGGATGCAATAGGATACGACTAATCATGAATAATGGTTAAGACATGATGGGCTATTATTCATCATCCCAGTTATAGTTGGTACACCCAATACTAACCCCCAACTGGGAATGGTTTATCATTGGAATTACCTCATTATTTCACTTTCAAAAATATGAGTTCACCAACAAGAATGTGATTCGGGTAGTGATTCCTGACAAACTAGCATACAATCTGAGTTGTGCCATATCCATGTCGATGCTGGAAATCTTGTTCAGCAAAGACCCACCCTTGCCGGTTTGTCCCATTTTGTTTCTGGTGGCTAAATCTTAGTTTCTTGTTGGTCAGAACCCCATGATACTTCCCAGAATTAATTACCAATGTTTGTAGTTTGAGAACCAGCCTGATTCTTGGTCGTCTCATAACATCACCATCTGGTTGGTGGTTTGGAACATGAATGTGATTTTTCCATATATTGGGAATTTCATCATCCCAACTGACGGACTCCATCATTTTTCAGAGGGGTAGGTTGAAACCACCAACCAGATTAATTCATAGGATACTAATGGATATTTATACCACATTGAAATATCCAGGATATATATATATATATATCTGGTTGGTGGTTTGGAACATTTTTTTCCATATATTGGGAATTTCGTCATCCCAACTGACTTTCATATTTTTCAGAGGGTTGAAACCACCAACCAGATATTATACACCATTTATATACATCATTTATGTACACCATTTATATATATATACACCATATATAATATCTCTATACATATATATATATACATATATATACTATATTGTTTTTCGCAAAAAAAAACACTGCGTCAGGTCATGCACCGCATCTTTTCCCGCATGGATCCGCGGGCCGCCACTTGGAGATTTCCTTCCGGGGAAGATCATTTGGTATTCCACGGGGCGTTGCGTGAAACACGGGGGGATCAGAAAAAAATGGTGGTTACCAAAAGATTGGGAAAAAAAGTGATGGTAAATTAACAGTTGGACCCTGAATCCATAGCCTAGTTTTAATGGTTTCACTAATCTTCCAAGCCCGATGACTGCCAGGGTCTATGTTAATTTACCAGAGGGTAATAGTGATGGTTAATGGTGGTTAATAGTGTTTAATGCTGATTGATGATGGTTAATAATGGTTAATAATGGTTAATAATGGTTAATAATGGTTAATAATGGTTAATAATGGTTAATAATGGTTAATAATGGTTAATTGTGATGGTTACCCTCTGGTAAACTAACAGTTTGCTATTGAAAATTGCCATTTATACTTGATATACCCGTTAGAAATGGTGATTTTCCATAGTTATGTTTGTTTACCAGAGGGTATATTGGTGGTATTCATGAGGGTTTCCATAGTCATGGGGGTGCTCCAATAACTGGATGGTTTATTTCATGGAACATTGGATTCAAATGGATGAGAACTGGGGTAGCCCTATATCAGGAAACCCCCATCCTGGTGGTATTGTTGGATGATGTCAACCATGAATTCACATAAAAACTGCTGGTTGGTGGTTTTTTTTTAATGGTTTGGAAGATGGTTAATAGTGGTCAATAGGCTTTAAACCAACAACAATGGGAATATGATGATGATCTGGTTGGTGGTCTGGAACCATGGAATTTTATGACTTTCCAGAAACAGTTGGGAATGTCATCATCCCAACTGTTACTCACTCCATCATTTTTTCAGAGGAGTAGGTTGAAACCACCAACCAGAAAGATCCACCATGCTATTAATGGGTAAATCCACTATAAATGGCCATTATCATCATAAGATCATCCATATTTATTGAAACCACCAACAGATTTTGGTTGCTAATTCATCCACCCCAATGAAAAACCACAAAACGCCCACTGTTTTTTTGGGCCGAGGTGAGATGTGTGCTGGGCGGCGTGGAGGTGTCGAAGAAATTGATTGCCATGACGTGGGACCACATCGCCTACACAGGTGGGAATTCACCATGGAATTCACCATGATCTTGGAAGATTCATGGCTAGGTTTTGGTGATATTTGGGGCTACACTTCTGGTAGGTGGGGATATTTGGGGATTGTATAGGATTATAATATGATCCCGCCGCCCAAAAATGGGGATCGTGGGATGTTTTTCTGGATGTTTTTTCGGATTGCCCACCTCCATAAAATGGATTATTTGATTCTTCAATGGATTCAGTAAACTCTGCCTGGAGAATGTCACATGTTCACTTGTCAAGTGCATATTTGTGTAAAGAATACCCTCTGGTTATTTAACATAGCCATGGTATAGATGGCCCATTTATAGATGGTTTACCTGGGTTTACCTATTAAAAATGGTGATTTTCCATGGTTATGTTAAATAACCAGAGGGTATATACACGCAATCGCGCACATTCTTGTTGGTTCCTTGGTTACTTGTTGACTGTGGTGGGTGAAAAATCAGTCTTGCTTGGTTTTAACATGTTTAAACCCACATGTGTGTTGATTGAAATCCACACGTTTTAAATTCTTTGATTTCGTTGTTTTGCTTGGTCAACTGATCGTAATCAGCTTACAATCTACAGATTCCATGTTTTAATTCCTCATGTTTATTTGGTCAAGTCAAATGATTTACACGTACTGTTCTTGAAAACCATCAAAATCCACCAGTTCCTTGGTTTGATATATCTGGATGAATCACAACGACCTGCAACGTCACTGTAGAGGTTAGTAGGAAGCATTATCCCAAAATGGCCGAACTTTTCAGGTCAATGATTCATTTTCAGTTATCCATATATAGATATATACCCATACATATCTTGGATTATATTGACTCCAAATATTCATTAATACATTGTCATTTTTTCATACATATCTATCCATATATCATGTTTATACATATATGTAAATATTATATATATATATATTATTATATATATAATTATCTATATATGTATACATCCATATTATGTGTGTGTGTGTGTTTCTTTGCATGTCGAATTGCCAACTCCTGGGCGCACCGGAAGAATTTTTTCCAGGCTCGGGACGCGTGGGCAAACTGATCCTGCAGGCGGCAGCGCCCAACCTGACGCCTGCCACGTGGCGTCCAGCTTGGAGGGATTTCTAACTGGCCAAAGCCATTGAAAAATGCTGCGTTAACATTGAAAAAACCATATGTTTGTATATTATAATGGTGATTAATATAGTTAATAATAATTTGGTTGGTGGTTTGGAACCATGGAATTTATGACTTTCCATTCAGTTGGGAATGTCATCATCCCAACTGACGAACTCATTTTTGTTCAGAGGGGTTGAAACCACCAACCAGTATAGCGCTTCTAATAGATTGCTTGGAAAAACCATTGTCATACAACCCATAGTTTGGAAAACCCAATACAACCACAGTATATGGGGTTGGGCTCACCATCCCAACATACTGTGGTATTAACATATAACCTACCAAATTGTTGTCCAAGAAAATCGGGGTTTTACTGTTTAACTTACAATGAGACACATGGGATGACTTGTTGAAAGTTGTTATCAAATGTTGTAAAGTTTCCCATTATCTGGCTGTTACAACACAACTCCATTTCTCCATAATCACTCCGTGGCAACTGGCAGAAATGGGAATCATGGACGAGTTATTATGCTGTAAATCATTTAGATATAAGGACCTCACTGTAAATTGTGATTCGTTAGGGGAATCCTTCCCAAATGGGCCGAACTTTTCAGGTTGGTGAATGAGTATAATTCATGAAGAAAACGTGCATTCAATTATATCAAGCGTCGACAATGGTACTATAAGGATACGTGGTACTTATTGACAATGGAATATATATATACATACTTATAATCTTATATATAACACATATATATATATACAATTATATGCACATATATATATAGAATACCAATGGGTACATGACGGTTGATAAATTTTGATGGTGAATCAATGGAGAATCATTGGCTAAACGGGTGAACCGAAGATTTTATCGGGAAAAAAAGTGGTTTAGTAATCTTTAAAAATTGCGTATCAGCCTATCTGATTGGTGGTTTGGAACATGAATTAATTTGTTCCGTTCAGTTGGGAACAATAATCCCATTTGACTTTCATATTTTTCAGAGGGGTAGGTCAACCACCAACCAGCTATAAATGGTTTGTTGACGACACAAAATTGGCATATCGCGGCAGGGTTGGGTTGAACCCACCGGAACCCGACCTGACGTGGCTTATGTCCTGAGGTGACGTTGGAACTCGGCGGCAAGTCGCCGGTGATCATGTGTCACTTGGAGGAAGCCATCTTAAAACCTGTGGTTCTTAACCAAAAGATGTGGTTATACCCAGTACATAAATGATATAGATATAATATATATATATATGTGGGCTTTATGACCAATAGATATGATCAGATATGTGTCAAGGTCCAGGTTGGAGGTGATTTTGGAACAAAGATCGACAGTCATTTCCGGACACCAGATTCGTCACTGGTACTCAAATCGCCAAGCAAAACTATAGACCTAATTGTCAAAAACGGATGTTATCCAAAGTGTTCGATCTGTTTGGATCTCACTTATAGATGACCATTTTAGCAAACGGACAGCTCATGTTTGGCTACCCAAAAAATGGGATGGGCTGCTACTAAAACGTAGCAAATTTATTGGTTCCAGAGCCTTAGAGTTTGAGCCATGCTTAGCGAAGAACAGAAGTTGGGGCACTGCTCATGAGGGTTTGTAAATTCATGTGCCCCAAAAAATGTTCATTTCAATTTTCTATGGGAAAATAGCATGAGTAACGACTGGATTTGGGGTCCCATAGCCTATTTTGTGGACAAAGCTGGAAAATCAAACGGTTTTTCCTAGGCCTAATGGCGGCCTAATTCCACTGGTTTCCGATCAGTTTCCTGTGGAGTTGCCATGTGGTCGGCACCCATCTTCAAACCAACTTTGATATCAAGCTGACTGTATATCCCATTGATATTCCCATGTATATCCCCATCCCCAGCTGAAGGTGGAGGAATCAACATCGAGGAGGCATGCAAACGCCCCTGGGACAGCGGAGGGTGCGGAAAATTCAGCACGAAAACATCAGATGCTGTGGGAATATGTGGGAGTTCCAATGGGGCATACCCCCAATATGTCAATTTGAAAATCGGTTGATGATGATTAATCACCAGATTTAGGGGTTTTCAGAGCCATGTGATGTTTCTTGCCTTCAAAATGGAGCTTTACACCAGACATGGAGATGAATACAATCCCGGTAATTTTTTGTGTCACACAAAAAATGGAAATCAGACTTGGAAACAGGGATCCGACCAGCCATAAAAATGGACGTGTTAAAACCTTGTGATGTGGGCTGTTTCCTTCTGGGGATGTCCCCCGGATGCAGTTGCTAGGCTTGCGCAGCAAAAATGGATACATATAGAGACATATGCGTGACATATCCAATAGTATTCATGTGGGTAAAACAATGCCATAAACCACCCATTTGGGAATGGTTTATACCACCAAATGGTGATTTGGGGGATGGTTTATTATTGTTTACTCACGTTATACAAATTCATGGGGTAGGCAATCAATCATTGACCATTGAATCTCAACATCTACCAACCTCTTCGTAGGCAAATGACCACTACGGAATACACCAACATGACGATTCACTGGTTGGATTCACCCAATGTTTGCAGGTGAACGCCTGACTTCTGTTTGGTTACCCCGAAATTCAACATAGAACAGCAAAATATTCATCGAAAACTAGGAAAACCATCTTCCAACCTATTCCAACCTATTCCAAACCCCATCAAAATATAAAATCAAAAATGTGTGAAGTCCATGTAGATTTGCCAACCCTTATATATAGGCTTGTATATCTATATCTATAATATTTATATAGGTCTATGTCTATATTTATAGTCTACAGAAATATCTCAAAAACATCATCCGATCATCGAGGCATCGTCGTGGGCAAGTTCTCCAATTCGGGGCAGACCTGCATCGCGCCGGACTACGTCCTGGTGGAGCGGGGCGTCCGGGACGAGGCGTGGTGACGTGGATGGGAGGTGGATGATGAGTGCACCAAGCATTTTATGGGGATTTATGGAATGGGATTGATAGATACCAACAAGATATTATGTGTATATATATATACTGGAATTTAATGGCATTTATAGAATGGGATTCTTAGAATGGGATTTATAGAATGGGATATGAGTCAAACACCTAACCAAGAATAATGTAATTGAATAGAATGGGATATTGATCAATATAACCAATAATATACAATAGATTTAATGGAACTTAATGGGACTTACAGGACATGGGAGTTGATGGGACATGGGATTTAATGGGATTGATGATATGATTTGATACGACTATGCATCCTCCGAGATGAATAACCATATGTTGAGATATATGTAATTCTAATATCTTTGTATATATATATATATGATAAATTATATGTAATTATAGTGTGCACCATGATTCCAGGATTCCATTTTTTTTTTCCATTTCCATGCGCAAAAGGTTGGTACCTTGCTGCCGTGCATCGTTCCGCCTTGCGAACGAAATTAATTGGGGTACAAAAGAAAATCAGCCTTGGAAATCCGGAAGCCAGGGTGCCTCTGTGCGGATCACGGCACAGGCCTGTACTGCTGCCTTTAACCAAGCTTCGGTTTCCGGCTCCTGCAATGGTCCTAGCGTCAGGTTGTTCTGACGGACTGCAACATGGAAACAATCGGCTACTGCACCAGCCAAAGCAGCGGAAAATGCTGGTGGGTACTCCTTGAGTACAGCAGTGCGGAAGGCACCAGTATGCATGTCTCGACCAATCGCGACTTGTTGGGGCTTGACAGCTTCTGGCAGCTGCCTTCGATATGCAGATTGGGCAAAGGATGGGCAATTGATAGCAAGGATACCAGTAGGCTTCACAGCTCCCGCGCCCCACCTCCATTGGCACACACGGTGCAGGCGCACGTTGGGGAGTTGGAGCAACAGTTGGACCCAAGGTGAGGTCCAAATACTCACCTTGGATTCATCTTCTGGTTTCCACGGATGTTCGCTAAGGTAGACACCTCCATGTTGGAGTGTCCAAGCTGCCACGATGATCCCTTGAAGGAAAAACTCCGAACCTTGTTCTGCTTGCCTCAACTCACGAGTCGTAAGGCCAGATAGACCAAAGAAACGTGTGGCACTCCTGAGGGGTCTGGGCCAACGTCGCTTGACTTCATCCGGCACATCATCGGGTTGATGGTGTCTGGCCGCTGAGAATGTCTCGCACGGAGACCCTAGGATTGTTGCAGAAACACGTCCTGCCTTGTACAAGGCCGTGAGAAACTTCCAGGTCGCATGAGTAGCCTGCAGATTACCATAAAAAATGGAAACAGCTGTGTCCAGAGACAACACTTGGACTCGATAGCCCTTCCCACACGCAAACTCCTCCAACTTGGCGTGAATGTCAGTAGCCCGCCTCCGGCCGCTGAATAAATGTACCACCAAGAAAAGCGGCAAAGTGGTTTGGCTCTCAACACTACTGGGAATGCTCGTGACATCCGGAATAACATCAAATCTGATAGCCCTCACCTTTTCCAACCAGGCGTCCTGTTGTTCAAAAAGGGATGGGATGCGCAATGCAGTCTGTGCTCTCTCTTTGGCGTTGGCTGTGCCAAATTTGGGCAGCCGATGGGGAAAAAGGGAACCCTGCTCAGCATCCAGGCGTCCAATCTTTTGTCTCAAAAAGGCTGCTTCAGAAAGCGCTTGCATCCTTGGAAAATCAAAAATGAAATCAGCAAAAGCATTGTCAACTAGTGATTCTGCTTCACCATCCTCAAATTGCGCAATGACATCTTCCAAACATCGCTCGCCCCACCCAATGTAGACGCTCTCTCGCCACTCAGGGTAGGCAGGGTCAGCTGTCGCTGCCACATCTAGCCAAGCATCTGGCAATTGGGAAATGATGGAAGAATCAAACCCTGCATCACGAAAACGTTGAAACCAGCCTACGGTCACTGCATCAAGGCGTTGCCAAAAGGCTGTCTTCTGTTCTTCAGCATCATCTGGGGTTCGCATATGGAAAATGGTTGCTTCAACCTGTGTGAGCTTCTGCTTGGCAAGGAGCAATTCATTGCTGCGGCTGTCCTTGGGCTGCATGTGTGGCCCGAGGGCTTGCAAAGCCTCCGTCCGATGTAGGCCCTTGGGCTGTGTTGCAGATACAGGTGTCAACTCCTCGAGGACTTGGAAGCCTCGCTTTTGCAAATCCTGGAAACATTTATTGACTTTCGTCTGCCTCGGGATATACGACAAATGCTGATACAACCTCTGTCGGCTCCAAAAGAACTTGAGGCAGGATGGGCAAGTGGGCCCGTCAATAAGGTGTCTTTCCAGCGATCCAATCTGATGGGCCTTGCGTTTGTGCGTGGCCAGGCCTTGAGGAGTTGTAAAACAACGGCCACAAAAGCACTTGTGGCCTTCGTCTTCAGCATTTTGGTCTGATGGGAGGTCTCGGAATGTTGCACAGGTGTGCAACGTTTTCACAATCTGCCCATGGAACTTATGCATCTGTTGCATCATCTGCTCTTGCTTTTGGAATCGACGAAAGGAACACGTTTCTGCCACTCCGGTGTGCCACTTTGCCAATAATCGAAGAGAGCAGTCAAATCGTCAGGATCAACAGGTGTCATGGCCTCTGGTTCCAACTTGCGCATCCACTCCAAGTCAGCAAGGAGGCCAGCCATCCAGGATGTCGGACAGAGCGCCTGCTCCCTATGGAGCAGATGTTGCAGATCCGCTGGGCCGTGCTCCCAAAGCCTCTGAGCGTAGAGCAATCGATCTGTAGCCAGGCGCACTCTTGGGTCGGCTTGTTGGGCACGCCGGAAAACCTCCGCAGACGTAGTGGAGATGATGGCCTCTTGGGTAAGGCGTAGCACTTTTTGCAGCATACGCAGCAAAACTGCCTTGAGCTTGCCCATTTGCCGGTGGGTTGGCGTGATCCAAGCACCTAGACCAAACAGTAATTTGCTCTCCACCAAGGATCTGAAGAGCTGCAGCCTGGTACGCTCAGGCAGATGGCGGTTGGTCAGGATAGGTTTGGAGAGCAGATTGAATGCCGCCTGCGCTTGTCCGACCCTGCTGCGAATTTCCAAATCCATACGATGATTGGCCGCAAAAATCGTACCTAAATGCTTGTATGACGGTACATAGTGCAAAAAGTACGTCTGGTCACCAATCATGATTGAATCACCTGGCTTGGCACCAAGTTGAAAGTGCTGACGGAGCAGCGGCGCACCTGCCCCTCTGAATGATACAACAGCGCTAGTCTTCCCTTTGTCCATATTGAGTAAGAACCCATATCGGTGGAAGAGTTGCACAACAAAGCTTAAAATAGCCCTGAGGGCGTCAGGCATCTCATCGGCAGTTCGTGTTGCCCAAGGGATTGCTAAATCATCGGCCCATGCGACAAAACTACCTGGAATGTCCAGTTCCTGAAGGATGTCCTTGAACGCTTCCTGAGAATCAATCCAGGTCTGCAGGTGATGCAAAATGTCTGACATGAGGACATGGAAAATACAATCAGCTAGCGGGCTGCCGGGTCGTGTGCCACGCTTGGTCGTGGCCATGGTCTGCGCTGCTCCAACAGCCATCCATGTGTTTGTGTGGACATCTTTAATCAGCTGTATGAGAAATGCAGGTGCCCCCAATCTCTCCAGCAAACAGGGTAAGTGCAACCGTTCGCACATGTCAGCGATCGGCAACCCTTCATCCTCCATTGCAGCTAAAACTTCTTCCAAATCAGTATCCACATTAATACCCGAGGTCCACTCTCGTACAAGCCTATGGAAGGCAGTGGTCAGATCCAGAAAAAGAATGCCTGATGTGAGGTTTTGCCCATCCATGATGCGCCCAAAGACCTGCAAGGACTGAGAACCATACATCACTTGCTGGTGAGCAAAGCCTCCAAGCTGCCCTGGTGGGCGTTGGCGGTGGAGCAGGGCCATGATCTGCGTGCGCAACAGTGCATGTACTCTTTTGGTGAACGTTGGGAGCAGCATGATGCCTCGGTAGTTTTGCGCATCAAAGGGACTACCTTTCTTGTGTATCACCGCTAGCTGTCCTCCTTTCCCTGCAATGGGTTCATGCTGCCAAATATACATTTTAAGCAGCAATGGGAAGAACAAATCGGCTAATTCACAAGGATTTTGGCGGAAAAGCTGTGAGGGCAGCAGATCAAACCCAGTAGCTTTCCCAGCAGGAGTCTGGCGCAAAACATCTTCAAGCTGGCTAATGGTGGGCAAATCAGCAATGGCAAAATGCTTTTGTTGAACTGGGGTTTGAAGTTGCCTCTGATGACAATTTTCCAGCAACTGGCTATGAGTGACAGGTTGGCCTGTTTCAAGCTGACAGAAATGGGGCAGCCACTGGTCATCCAAGGCATCAATCTTGAGGGGATCATAGCCGGTTCGACGCTGTCGGAACTTTGGGATGCTACGCCGCAAGGTCCGCCACAGTTCTCGGGCATGTTGCGGTCCAAGCCAATGAGAGCTTTCTTGTGCCAGGGAATCAAAAAATCTGGCATCATCATGTCGCAGCGCTTTAGTGACCTGGGCTCCATAGCTACGGAATTGGTGCAATGCTGTGGCAACGTCAACGTCAAGCTGTGTCAGAATGTCATCAAACTCCGCAGCCGCATTTTGTTGGCAGGCATCGTCACCCCCATGAAGGCACACATACTTCCAAGAGGTAATGATGGCTTGCAGGTAGGTGCGTTTCTGCAGTGTTTGGCAATCTGCCAATTTTTTTCTCCATTTGCGTTTGGTGCAGACCAAGGCCCAGGTATCTGCTGACATGGTGGTTTTGCGCGGGTGCTTCTGCAAGCAATTGTTCTCTCGCCTGGTGCAGGCTGCAAGCTCATGTTGTAAGGCATGGAAGTGCGTGTGCACATCTGTATCAAACCAATCATGAGAAGCTTGTTGGGTCTTCAGGGCTGCGAGCGCCTCAGCACAAAACTTCGGAGGACACTTGGGCATACCTTTTCGTGATCGTGTTTGGACACTCTCGGAATGCCACATGATGGAGACACAAGCCGGTCGATGGTCATCCTTCTGAAGCGAGACATCAATGTGCGTATCAGTCCAAGACCGACAGGTCAACAACGGCCATGCCATATCAACTCCAATGACGTCATTTCTGGTCCAGTCGCCATTGGGGTGACACCATGTACCTGAAGGGCCGGTGTGGCACGTCGAAAATGATGCCGGGATAAAAAGATTTTGAGTGGCAACAAATTGGCAAAAGGCTTCACTTTTGGCCGTAGAAATCTCAAAATCATGGTCACCGATGTGTTGGTTTGGGCAATCTCCAAATCTGCAATTTGCGTCTACCAGGAGCAACCTGGGCCAACCATCATATTTCTTTGGAATTGCCTGGCGGACCTGCTGCCAGAACATTTCGATGGTGTCAAAATCCGCCCCACTATGCGGTGCATGGACAGCCACAAGAATACACTTGAGGCATTGGGCATGTACTTTGATGATCATGAAACGGGGATCAGCGGCGACAACTGCAAAGTCATTATCATCAAAACAACCCTGAGCATGAGGCTTGCCATCACTCTGAAAAGCGAAAGGCTGTTGTTTGGCAAAGCCTAACAGGATGCCAAACTGTCCTCTGCAATTTGCAGGGGCATGCCACAAAAAATAATCAGGGCTATGGAGGCGCATACTGGTCCTAAGTCGCGTCTCTTGCAAGGCAAAGATGGAGATATTGGCTTGCAGAAATTGTTTGGTGATTGTCTGCAATCTGGCAGGCCCCAAAGAATTTGGATAGTCTTCATTGGCCTTGCTAGATCCTTGCGTCAGCGTCAACACATTGCAGGTAAGCAAATTAAGCTTAATTGTCACAGTGTCCACAGTTTGACTACTTCCGTAGGAGGCAGTTGAACCCACTGTATGCGGTTCAGGTGTGGTCTGATGTTTTGCAGGCAGATGTAATGTACTATCAGACCAATATTTGTCAAAGGACGGATGCTGGAAGACCCAGCCCCATGACAGAGCTTGGACAAAGTGCCAGTTGGTCAACATGCAGAAAATGGTGCTCCAATCCTGCAAGGAAAATCCATGGGCTGCACACTGGGCAATCGTATCAACAAGCTCGTTGCCTGGGTCACCACTATGACCCGGGACAAAGACATGGTTGCAACAAATTTGCCACCGGGTTTGCATGATGCGCAAAAGGCTGCGTACTGCATGACATGAAACCTTGTCCTTCTTTGCTTGCCAAAGCCCTTCTGCTTGTTTGCCCACTGAAAGTGCATCGAAGAAAAATGTGACACTTGGCTGACACCCAAACACTTCTGCTGCAATTTTCACCAGATCATATGCTTGCTTAGTGGCCAGCAACGCGGCCCGAACTTCAGCTGTGTAGGAACCAAACTCCGGGGTCGGTAGATGTGCAGAAACAGCTCCAGCAAAGAGCCAGCGGTCACCTTGCAAAACAAATGCCGCAGCTGCCGCCCCTGCAGTCCCTTCCTGTTTCAAGTAGGAGCCATCATAGTAAACAGAAACATGATCGATCGGATGGTCACATGCATACCAATCAGCTCTGATCCAGGGCAGGCATTGCGGGAGCCAATGTGCATGGTCTTGCAAACAGACCTCCAAATCAAAAACTGGCAGCGTGAAATGCGAATCAAGCTTATCAAGAGCCCGGCTAGCTTCCTCAAAACCGATTTGCAAACAAGCCGGCTGGTGCACTGGCTCATCATGCTTGAGGGCATTTGAGGGTGGCCGTTGCAGAAGAAATGTCATGTCAGCATCATTCGCTTCAGCATCTTGCCGGTGAGCCCTCTGGGCCATATCATCGATCACAAGGACAAAACTAAAGCCAGTCCAACTCAAAAAAGGATGGCCAATGCGTATCCGTTGGAGATCATACCAGAGTGCGCAGGGTGGCCTACCATGTGATGGCAAACAGGTGTCTTCATAGCCTACCGCTCTCACAACATGCTCGAATGTAGTGCAGTCAGGCGTGGTGACGGCTCTACGAACAGGTTGATATCCAAGATTCAGGTCAATTGTGGAAACAAGCGTCGTCGACCAGGCTTCATTGGGGGCCTGGACAATGATGACGTGTGCCGCAATTCCTGTCTCAAGCTGTGGCGGGGTTGGCTTGACAACTTCAATTTCAATCCCAAGGCCAGGATGGATGGAATCCTGCCAAATTGATTTGATGCGCTGTTCCCAATCCGTAAAATCTTCAAACAAGGTTACTGCACGCGGATACAGGCAAGTAGGAAAATGGAAGCGATGATCCACAAACCATGTCATCACCTTGATTGAAGCTGATTCACCCTCCCATGTGAATGCTGCAGTTTCAAATTCAGAGTGCAGATCTCAAACAAACTCCGGGAAAAGCCAAAGATTGGGTCCCTCCGGATTGAAGGTAGGCGTGTTGGGATTGAAAGAGCATGCCGCAGGCTGCGGCTGTCCTGGTGCCGCTTGCATGAGCGACAAATCCTCAAAATGCAACAAATCAATGGGGTCATGAGTCTGTGCAGGTTCATGTGGTGCTTCAATCCGAATGCTAAGACTACTTCCTGGTACAATGGCAACAGCAACTTCCTCATCCAGCAATTGTCTGTCTTGAAAGAGCCTGCATCTTCTGTGAATGGTGAGTTGTTCAAGTTCCATGAGCCTCGCGACGGCGACGGTGGCACGGTCAACCTGGGCTGGGGCAGAATATGCACCTTGAACAATTGCATCATGTGGTGAACCTTCCATTAGGGCAGTAAACACGGCTGCTACATGCTGTTCCCGGATGCCTTGCACAAGCAGGATGTGACAAACACTGGGTTGCACCAAGTGCTGAGGCGGTCGTGGCTGCACAATATGTATGGAAAAGCTACTACCACGTTCCATGAAATCGACCCAGGCGGTTCGCAGGTGTCTTCAATCCAGGTAATGGGATTACCATGCAATTGGATGATACGTGGCCGTCGACATGTCATACGTCGGTTGTGGTGTATGTACCAAGTGGTAACATGCATAGTCAGTTCATTGTCCCATACCCCTCGGGTACCCTGTGTGTGGAACAAGTGCCCTAAGGGAGGAATCCAATCCTCTTGGCCATCATGTCTGGGAAGTCGTAGGCGGCATGGCAAATCAGAGGCCGGCCTAATGATGGGGAAACCCAAATCTTCACCAACCTCACCAGGCTTACACGTCATGACATTTGCATCAGGGGATTTTGGATCATGAGCGCGTTGGGCAATTTGGATGAATGAGACATTATCTTCCTGGGTGTCAAAACCTCCTTCAGCAGGTAGGTGATGTGCATTCATCGCAGCTGCCATAGCTGGTGTCCAAAGTGGTTGATGTACATGAAATGAATCATCTTCATCTGGCTGCTCATGTGTCGCTTGCGTGGTCACTTGCACAACAAGGCAAAAGCCTGAATCGAGATCCTCGACCTCTCCACGATTCAGGATGCGCCGTCGGAAAGTCACTCGACAGCGTTGGATGGCACAGAGATCTTGGAGACTGACCTTACGTAAAACTGCTGTAACTGAAACTTGCCTTCCAAGCGAGACTGCAACATGTCGCAAGGCAGCATGCCTCCTGCCTTGTCGTACAACCGAAATGATCCCAGCAGAATGCGTCAATATCGGCCTACTTTGTTCCAGCAAGAGATGGGCCAATATGGTTTCAGTAGCAGTATGCGGTGGTGTGGGCGTTACGAACTTGATGTCAACAGATGAAGATGGATCAACAGCATCCTGCCAAGCTTCAAGAATCTGCTCAAACCAAGCATCAAATTCTGCGCCGATCAGTCGGACTGGTCGACTGTGTTCACATCTTGGACTGCGCAAATGATCTACAAACCATGTTGTGATGTAGGCAACAAAACCTTCTTCTTCGCACTCAACAAAACTATGTTCATTGAAAGCACTCGCAAGGAGTCGTTTCCAATTTGGCAAACATGTGTCATACATTTGGGAAGTCAAAGCTCTCTGTGAGCTGGGGTGCAGGCCGATGGTATCCTCCGGGATGCGCCTGAAAGATGCATGTTTCTGAGTCAGGGCCAATGCTCGACCTGATCTTGGCTGGGAAGTGCAATCCGAAGTAACCGCTGCTTCATCCTCATCAACTGAGATTGCAACCCAGGGAAATGCACTTCAGTATCCAGAATAATCAGTTTTTCAGCTGAACCTGGCTGCAAATCATTGACATGTTGCAAGATTACCGACTCTTCTGCTTCATGCTGGCCCACTAAGGCACATTGCACATGATGAATGCCAATCAAATTTCGAAGGTGCTCACCTAGGAATCTCACGATTTCATGCAGAATGGCATTGTACGTTCCCCAGCGGATGAAACAGTGGACCACCGGGCGTCCAAGTCGATACACTTGAACTCCTTGCCATTGCTCGAACTGGGTGGTTGATTCAGGCAGTGATGTGTCAGTGAGGCGCTCAGCTTCATCATCAAAGTCGTGATCATCGTCCCCTTGGTCACTAGATCTGCGGCCAGTGCCAACAATCTGCTGGCGGCCATTCTCGTTCTGTTGCACAAGTTGGCCAGCAATACTCGAGTCAGAGGGTGTAGGGTCAGCCGCTCTTTGGTGGATATGAGGTGTGATATGTGCAGCAAATCCATGTCCATCCAATGATGGAATACGGAATCAATTGCCAACCGAAAAAGAAATTGCATCGGTGTGTGTTGCATAAATGCGTGATGTCAGCAGCAGCTGCAAGACCTAAACCACTCACTTCATCTGGCAAGGAAATAGCAACTGCGAAAGGACGCAAGGATCCCTGTGCGGTTTGATGATGAACTGTGAGCAAGCCGGCATAACGCTCTGCATCCGTCCCTTGCACAACCAGCACATCTGCTACCGCTTGTCTTTGCAGAAAGCTGCGGTCTGGGTCCGGTAGCACTGTGAAGAACTGCACATCCTCGTTGGGTTGGATCATGTCTCGCCATGATCTGGCGATTTCCTGTTGCCATAAAACCCATCTGTGGTCCAGTTCTACAAAACGTGGTACTGCCCAACGTGGAAAATGGTAATGATGCACATACCATGTTCGAATCAAGAAAGTGTTTTCCATCAAGAAGTCATGCGGCAAAGCTAAAAAGCCCGGCAGCCCAAAAATATCAGTCACAAACGCAGGTGGTGGTGGAAGGTGAAGCTGATTTAGCGGGGCATCAGGTGGGGCTGTGCTTGCAGCCGCAATTCGTCTTGGAACATTGGCATGTTCATCAGTCAATCGCACTTCACTGATCCTAGGTCGTTTACTTTGCTGTGATCGATTGCGCTCAGGTCGAGCAATATCACCGGCAGGACAACCCTTCGAAGGCTTTTTGACCCATGGTTTTTCGGACCAAGTAGCTAATTCAAAGGTGTTCATGTCAGTGCATTGCATACTAAGCTCATCTTCTAATCCAATATGAATAGATGTCCGATCATGAAATTGAACTTTTTTGGGGTGGACAGCTGAGGTGTCTCTGCTCTTTCGAATGCAACTGCGCAAGGGGGAAGAATCCTCAAGAACAGCAAATGCATGGTCTGGTCGTCCTTTCTTATCATGTACAGCTCCCGCAGTTGGAGGTTGAATGGGCATGATGGACCCTTCAAAGGCATCACAAAACACACTCCAACCTAGCTTCCAAGCTGACATGACTGCATCAAAAGGGTTCAGGTAATTGTACTCAGTCTGAATCGAATGGTGCCAATGCAAAAATTGTTGAGAGTCAAAATTGCTCAGCTGGTAAGGGCATGCTGCACGATTCGTTGGCTGCGAAACGTAGGCATCAGCCAGCCCAGCTGTCTGATCGGCGTCATGCAAGCTATGGCTCTGCACTAGCTGTGCACCGCCTCCGATCAGGCGTTCTTGACATCCGATGGCGCTCCAGCAGATCCAGGCCCACCGAAGGGCTGCATTGATCGAGGGCGTTTCTTTTCTCGCTCCTCGTCTTCCATGGTCAGGTCTTCGCCGTCGTCGTTGATCTGGTGCGGAGTCTCCGCATTCAGGACTGCGGCACAGTTTTGCAACACCAACTGAAGCTGCCCCTGCAGCTTTTCCTCTTCGGTGTCGGCATCTGTAGTCCCCTCGTCCTGCTCCGCTGACAGCGCCGTGAGCGGCGGCATAGCCGCCAATGTGGCTTGGGAAGCCTTGACTGAAAGCGCCTGGATCTCCTTTCTGGCAGCTTCGATGTCCGCCCTTGCTTTGGTGGCGGCAATCTGGAACGTCTCTTGTTGCTTTTGATATTCCTGCAACTGTGTCTGCCATGTGGTAAACGCCTCTGTGATATGCTTGATCCATCTTGTGCGGTGAACCTTTTTTGATTCCAGAGCTTCTGTCAACGTTTTCTGTGCCTTGCCCAGCGTCTTGGTAGCAGCATGTAAGTTTTTGGTCACAAACTTGCTGTTCTCCTTCTCTAGGCGCTCGATGTCTTTGTCCATTTTCTCGATGAGCTCCTGGGTCTCTTGAGGAGCTGCATTGACTTCTGGATAAGCCACTCGAAGTGCTGCAACGCACTCCTTTTTCTGTGCCAAAATTTCCAGGTTGTTGGAACTTGACTACTTGACGCCGATGCTGTGGTTGGCATCAGATTCTGCGCAACCCCATCCAGAGAAGGCCACGGAGGCAATGTTGCCGCAAGGGGTGCAAATGGCGAGCTGCTGTAATTCGCATTGTGCGGTGCTTCTGCACCCATCACCGACGGGGCTGCATCCTTGTGCTTGGCCTTGTTCTTCCCAGCACCTTTGCCTTTGCCTTTGCGGCTCCTTGGACTCTGCGATCTTTGGGGAACCCGTGGGCTCTTGGAGCGGCTCTGTGATCGACTGGTATGGTCCTGCCAATTGTCCCAGTCTTCCCATTTCTCCCAAGCATATTGACGTTCTTGTGGCGGCCATGCATCTCTGTATGCCGTCGCCTGATGTGTTCTGGGCGCCGTGCTGTGACGGACACCGGTGGTCCAGTGTGCCTGGCACAACGCGCACTTTTCGGCCACTTTCTTGTTGATGCGTTGACAATGTATGCAACGCCAAGGAAAGAGGTCTTCCATGGTTCTGTGCTGCTTCTTGATCTCTGTACGTATCCTCCTCAAAAATGATGGGTCTTTGGAATGATGACCAGCAAATGTCCTGTAAAGGCGTTGTAAAGCCAATGGGCCAAGAACTGTCACCCGTTTGCAGTGCAAGTGCCACGTAAATCTGGCCCGAGCACGTTGACGGCGCAATCGCCGTTTCTGGGTGGAACTCAGCAATGGAATTTTGCAAAAGGTCGAAGCCAACAATCAAAATGAGGAATAGAAGCAAAAAGGAGCACATAAATTGTAATCCGTTCAAAATTGAGACACCAGGGATTATCCAGTTCAGTGTCAAGAAAAATCGCAAACCCCAGGTGTTGGGTACACCTGCAGAAACCGTACAGTCAATGTCACCAAATCAATGTACCAGTTCAGGAAAATCACCGAATTGTACAATCAAAAGTGGCAGAGATGTAATGTAGCACCAGCGCAAAGCAGTGTGTGCTAAATTCACGCAAAAATATGGGAGACTAAGGTCCAGGAAAATGGTCAGCGAGGAACAAGTCAAACTCGGAGAAACCAATACCAAAAACCAAAGCCACCAGAAATTTGCCAATGCTAGGGTTTTACCAGGATTACCCTAAACCTCAAGGTCCGGAAATGCTCAAATCCGACACCCGTGGGAGAGGCAGTCACAGGACTCCCACTAAGGCAATGGCTGAAAAACCCTCAGGAACAGCGGCGAGGGGAATTTGAACCAAAACCTTGATTCCAGGATTCCATACTCAAAAAAAACAGAGAGAATTCTCCCCTTAGGTTGTGTCATTTACCCATCGGCTGAAGCTCCGAGAATTGTCTTGAGGGAAACCCATATGGAGGTTTCCATAAATGGGGGACCCCAGAAATAGATGCTTTATAATGGAAAATCATCTATAAATGGACAATTTAGGGGTACCCCTATTTCAGGAAATCTCCATTTCGAATTGCTTGCTTTCATTTCCTTGATTCGACTGCCTTCATATCAGAATACTTGGTGTGATTTGTAAAAAAAAACAGTTGATTTGTGCCAAGCAATATTGGTGATATATCATCATGATTGATCCACTGTTTCCCGCACTGAGAACCAGCGCCAGGTGGTGGCCCAGCTAAAGAAAGCCACACTGGACATGTTGGGCGAAGGGCCAGAGGCTGCGCAGAAGATGACTCGCATGATTAATCCGCAGGCGGGGTCCCCATTTCTATACCACTTGTAGCCGCTTAAATCATCAGTTTTGCTTAAATCCCAATGTTTGGCAAGGCTCTCCAAAATTTTTGCACACTTCAATCTCCACTTTTTTCACCTCACATCCCTTAAAAGTATTTCAAAGTCACAAAATTCTTCCACATGTCACCCGAAAATCCATGAAAATCCTGTTTCCCCCAGGCAGCGCAGCGCATCTTGGCGGCGCTGCGCGAGGCGCACGGCGGGCGCCTGGAGCTGGGCGGCCCCGCGGAGGTGCCCGGCGTGGCGAAGGCGGAGCGCTTCGTGCAGCCGACCATCGTGGTGGATCCCAAGAAGGTGCCACGGCTGGGTGGGAAGTGGTTTACCCACCCTGCTAAAAACCATAGGAAAATGGTTATTTTTTCACCAGTTGATTTACCTATTCCTTAAATGGTGATTTTCCAAATGGGAAGTGGGATCGTCAATGGGTCATGGGTATTTTACCATGGGATTTAACTGATTTAACCATCAAAGATGGTATTTTAATGGTATAATCATGGGATTTAACCCATGGAAGTGGTAGCCTCTGGTTATGACTGTGCCATAGCCATGGTATAGATGACCCATAGAAATAGATGATTTTCCCAGCTATAAACCTCCATTTAGTTCAGGGATTTTCCATGGCTATGTTAAATAATAGTTATGGTTTCAACGGGTGGAGGGCTGGGCTCCAAGGATGGGAAAAATATGGATCCAGCATGTTTCTTATGGGATTTACGATGTAATTATGGTGATTTTCCATAGTTAGGGTAGGGAATATGGCTGGTTTCTTGGATATCTCATGGTATTTTGGGTGTGATATGAAAAATAGTAAAAAATCATATTGGTATATTAAATTATGGATGTGTATATCATATAACAATATAACATTTCTAAATCTCGGATGGATGGATGGATTAGATATGTAAATAACTGTTAATCTTTGTGTATAGCTAATAGTATGATGATAGTTATTGTGTTATTGAGGTGGAAGGATGGAAGGATGGAAGGATGGAAGGATGGAATCTGTTAAGATTTAGGAATAACTGTTAAGATTAATATGTTTAGATATATAGATAGATTATATGGTGTGTGTGTGTTTGTATATATATATATATGATACAATCTATTTTGGATGGTGGGGATGAGATGGGATGGGATGGGAAGGGATGTGGGATGGACAGTACATCAACTATATAGGTGAAGAGGGGTCGTGAAATGTTATCAAACTGTATTTAGATTGAGATGTATATGTATGCATTCATTTTTACATCAATAAATTGGATGAAAGGACATTTTGCATCAATAAACCGTGATTTTCGCCAAAAAACCATGGGTGTTTACCGGAAACCCATGGGTTTTTCCATGTTTTTCCCCAACCATGGGGTGCTTCCCATGGCATCCAGGACAGCACGCTGATGACGGAGGAGATCTTCGGCCCGGTGCTGCCGGTGCTCACGGTCTCCAGCTGCGATGAGGCGATTAGCATCGTGAATGGCAAAGAGATGCCGGATTGAAAGGTAGAGGGGATTTTTAGGGGAAACCATGCCGGATTTGTTGGGAAAATGATATATGATATAATATAATATATATATATAGATAATTATGTGTATATTTATATATATATAATTATATATTTAATTATATATATATATATGTGATTAGGTGAGATGCTTGGGTTTCTTTTAAATGGTTTTGAGATGGTTTTATATGGTTCTATTTGGAGTTCATTGGCGATTTGAAGGAAGATTTAGCGAAACCCATTTGCTCGTGCGGATGAATGACGATTTTTTGGGGATTTACACATGATGGTGAAGGAATATCCATGAAATATATTATATAGGTGAAATATATTTAGATGAAATTTTGATGGTGGTTTCAACCATTTTTTATTTTCCATAATATATGGCACAATCCTTCCCATTGACGAACTCATATGTTTCAAGATGGTTATTGCACCACCAACCAGAAATGGTTGGAGGGAAACCCATTTGAGATTCTTCAATCATGATAAGGTGATTCAATAGGGATGGGTGGTGGAGGAAACCATCCCGGTGGTGATTACTGTAGAGGTGGTTGGGAGAAATGATGAGGAGATGAGGGGGAGCTAGGTCCGGAAATGATTGAAAATTAAGAAATAGTAATGTAGGATTGGATTTATAGAGAGACAGATAGAGATGGATAGAGATAGATAGAGAAGGCGATTTATGCCTTATGAGCATCTAGAATTCGGGGAAGATTTGCGGGGCTGATAAACCATCGTCCTATCCTAGTTGTGCTTGTTGGTTGCATTCCCAATCTATGATAGTGAAGTCCCAAATTTGACTCTTTTCCCCAAGCCATTGATACAGATAGCAGATAGCCTTTTGTTCACCAGTGCGCATGCTGGTTGATATAAACGAGTCCCTGATGTTATTTCACTTGTAGACATGCTAGATGGATTATTGGCCAGTTTATTGTCCCCATCCATTTGTGGAATGCTTTACCCTCTGGTAATGACTAACATAGCTATTGAAGATTGCCATCTATAGGTGATTTACTTGTACCGATTAGGAATGGTGATTTTCCATAGTTATGTAAACGTTTACCAGAGGGTCTCCGCAATTTTCCACATCCCCAAGCTTTGTTTATTCAATCCATTTCAATCCCATAATCCCCAATTTCAGATGTGTGTTTTCCCAACATTTTAGCAGAATAGACCCATTCATTCCTCTTGGGTTAGCTGAGGGATACTGGGAGGATGGTACATGCTGACCATCGATCCCTTAGGTTTTTTTATGAACCATGCTACAATCAGGAACTACATATGTATATATATATAATTAACGTCATATATTTCTAAGTATATATCAGATTATATATATATATATACACATACACCCATATTACATTGCACTTTTATTGTAGCCGTATTGAAGCCATATCAAACTCATATCACAGTGATATGTACGATTAGCATGGAGCCCAGGAAACCTTTAGCTGTCTACGTCTTCGCCCCTTCACCGGTGGTGGACCATGTTATGGCCAGCACCAGCAGTGGTGCCGTGGTGGTGGGTGACGTCATGATGCACAAGGGCAATCCAGAACTGCCCTTTGGAGGCCGAGTTCGGGATTTCGTCAGTGATGGGATTCCAACCTTTGGGGGGGCCTGAAAAAAAGGGCGAAATTCAACAAACGCTTATATAGCCTATTGTTGGGATCCCATCTTAACCATTGTTGGTGGTTATATATACCCTCTAGATATAATATATATATAATTATATATATATAATTATATATATATATAATTATATATATATATAATTATATAAATTATATATATTATATATATATATATATTGATGGTGGCTGCTGGTAATCTTATATAACCACCCTGCTGGTAACCTTATATAACCACCAACAGCCAGCAACAGCCACCAACAGCCAGCAACAGCCATCCATTCTTCTTCGGGTCACCTTTTTGTGTCGAGGCATCGGAGGCTCCGGCATGGGCCGCCTGCATGGCATTTCTGGATTCGAAGAGTTCTCCAATCTGCGAGCGGCTGCTTGGCGTGGATAGATTTCACCCATAGTTCTACCCTCTGGTAAACATACAAAAAGCTATTGAAAATTGCCATTTATAGTGGATTTACCCATTAAACATGGTGATTTTCCATAGTTACGTTAAATTACCAGAGGGTAATGTTCTAGGAGTTAAACATCCCAAGAAGTTGGGGGTTTAGTCAGTTCACCTTATACTCATAGAAGATTAGAAGTATCCCAACTTATGATTTTTTGAGTTGTCCCTGGTAAAAAAAAAAAAACTCATAGTAATCTCAACGGTTCCCCAAAGTAATGGTCAATAGTGGGATCAACCTCAGATGGGTAGGTTATATATAGTACAACTTGGGGAGATATGAACCCAACCACCTCCCAACATGTTTATCTTGCAGGGTATCTAAGATTGGCCACGTAAAAATAGAAGTGTTAAGCTATGTAGGTATAACTTGACCTAAATATCCAATATTATGGTGAGTTAACCAACAAAATATAAAGAATTCATCAAACACACATCAAAAAAATGTTTTTTTGCAACTAACCATTGGGTTTGGTAGTTTTGTTTTAATCAACGAATCTAGTTGGTCAGTTGGTGGTTTCCTATAGATGTTGCAAAAATATTTTTTGGGGGGTGATCCTGATCATGCTGATCCCACATGACTCAGTTGACCTCCCAAGGGCCGCTATACATGTCGCTATTAATAGGTAAATACCATCTATAAATGGGCCATTTTCCATGGCTATGTGAAACAACCAGATAGTAATGGGTATAATGATAGTGGGATATACCCTCTGGTAAACGTTTACAACAAACTATGGAAAGATTCACCATTTTTAATGGGACAACTCACTATAAATGGCCATGTTCAATAGCTTTTTGTTAACGTTTACCAGAAGGTATATTGTGTGTGTGTGTTTATATTAGTATGTACATGTATATATATATATATATGCAGATCCAATACATTCCTGTGGATACTTCATGAACACAATCACAGATAGGACCAACATTTTTTCATGTATTATATATATATACATTGATTTTAATATGCAAATATACATACATATACATATACATATTAGAGTACGTCATAAACATATTGCCATTCCAATAGACACATATGTCGGGATAATGATTGTTAGTAGGGGCAACTATCCCATCATAGCCATATTTCACGCTAGTGAACTATGATGATGTATTTAGATGACATCAAATAAATAGTGTATATTATCGATGAACAGTATACTATGATGACAGTATACTATTAAAAATATGTATTTAGATGACAGTATTATTATTGATCAACAGTATACTAGCCATTATTGTCATCCCATCCTGTTGATGATCAACCGTATCATATTTAGCAATTACTGTATATATATATAGTCTGGTTGGTGGTTTGGAACATGAATTTTATGACTTTCCATCTATTGGGAATGTCATCATCCCAACTGACGAACTCCATGATTTTTCAGAGGGGTAGGTATACCACCAACCAGTTATTTATGGGAAGGCTATGTTATAACTATGTATAACTAAGAATAAACCATAGATGTGGGATATAACCATGTATTTATATGCATATCTACATATTATATACATAATTTACACATGTTCTGATCTTCGCGGATCTGCAGGTGATGAACCGGCCTTTGACCATGCCTTCGCCCATGCGTTTGCCCGTGGAGCCAGCCTTGGCAAAAGTGGCCTGGACGTACCTTGACACCGATGGAACATCCGCTGACATAGTTCTGCTATTTTGATTGACTCCAAGAAGTTATGAAAATCAATCAAACTAGCAAATGGAAGTTAAATCATCTGGTTGGTGGTTTGGAACATTTTTTATTCCCCACCTGCCAGGTGAGGGTTGTTAGATTTTATGTCAGTTGCCTCCTCCTCCTCCTGCTCCTCCTGCTCCTCCTGCTCCTCCTCCTCCTCCTGCTCCTCCTCCTCCTCCTCCGCCTCCTCCTGCCTCGTCCTCCTCCTCCTCGTCCTCCTCGTCGTCCTCGTCGTCCTTGCTCAACTGCGACCCGCGATCCACAGTGTTCTCTGCCGGACCTCAACCACGACCATCCACGCCCAGTGTTCCCTGCCATACCTCAACCACGACCATCCACGCCCAATGTTCCCTGCCGGACCTCAACCACGACCATCCTCGCCCAGTGTTCCCTGCCGGACCTCAACCACGACCATCCACGCCCAGCGTTCCCTGCCGGACCTCAACCGCAAGTATCCACGCCAAGTGTTCCCTGCCGGACCTCATGTAGGAAGATATGGGACAAAGAATGTGCAGAAGAAAGTTAGAAAGAATGTCAGAAAGAATGTCAAAGATATGCCAGAAGATATGCCAGAAGATATGCCAGATAGAATGCCAGATAATATGCCAGAAGATATGCCAGATAGAATGCCAGAAGATTTGCCAGATAGAATGCCAGAAAATATGCCAGAAAATATGCCAGAAGATATGCCAGATAGATATGTCAGAAGATATGCCAGAAGATATGCCAGAAGATATGCCAGAAGATATGTCAGATAGAATGCCAGAAGATATGTCAGATAGAATGCCAGAAGATATGTCAGAATATATGCCAGAAGATATGCCAGATAGAATGCCAGAAGATACGTCAGATAGAGTGCCAGAAGATATGCCAGATAGAATGCCAGAAGATTTGCCAGATAGAATGCCAGAAGATATGCCAGATCATATGCCAGAAGATATGCCAGATAGAATGTCAAATAGAATGTCAGAAGATATGTCAGATAGAATGCCAGAAGATTTGCCAGTAAGAAAATGTATAAATGTCATGGTGGGGATCACACGAAGTAAAGTAATTTTCCCCATATGGTTTCAAACCATATTTTTATGTTCTTGGAAGATCAAACCATATTCCAAATTTTGATTGATGTTAATCACTATTAAGCACTATTAAAAAGGCCATGGAAAAATTTTCACAATATCCTCCGTTTGTCCCGAGAGGATGGCCTATCACAGCAACAAAAGCAACGATCCGATGCGAAACATCCGAATATAGCAATGGCCATGGCCAGGAAGCGATTTAGGACGCAGTTACCTAGCATTTCTTTAAGGCCTATATATGCCTATATAAGGTACTAACGTACCTCCATTTTATGATCATGACATTTCCATTGATCGTACCTGTCGTTTGGTGATGTTTGGTGATCATTGCCGTTTTTGTGCGACTATCCCCAATTTTTTTAGCGTTCCATCTGAGTTGTTTCTCCTAGCTGAATGACTATCCTACCTGGGAAGGTGGTTTTGAAGCAGGACTCTCATCCTGGTTAATTTTTGCTTGAATCCCCATAGTTGGCCATAATTTCACCATGGGTTTCCAGTAAATGTTCCCTGAAACGGCAGCCCAGTTTTTTCCCCATGAACCATCTGTATTGCACTTGTTTTCCTGACCAATCGCACTTGATCAAGCATTTGGGAGCGAGTGCAAATCATCCGAAGTGAGGGCGTGCCCAATAATAAAGCCACAAATTTGGGTACAACGGTTAGAGATGTTTAGAGTAAACCAATCAGAATTCCACACATTTGGGATATGGAGGTTTCCAATCCATGGGGGTACCCCCAGTTCTCATCCATTTATAGCTGAAGTTTCCATGAAATAAACCATCTATTTTGGTATTTTGGGGTACCCCTATTTATTGAAATCCCCATCATACCACCAATATACCATCTGGTAAACAAGGTCACGCCGCCCGCAATGACCCCGCGCAATTTGACCTTTTTTCCAGCATCTCAGTTTGCAGTTTTGCAACCCTTCCAGGGTTTTGTGACAATCGCATTTTGACATGACTTGCATTTCTATTGGTATTTGCCTTTGTAGTCGTTTTCATGAATTTACAGTGGTCGAAGCATTCATTTTTTGTCCCCATACATTAAAAAAAAACGAAGTTTTTGTATTTTTCACTTGCGAGTCTTTGCCAACGTGCTAAGTTCTTTCAATCTCGTGACGTAGCAACGATCCCAGAGATCTCTACAGCGTAGCAACATGTGATGTACGAAGTGCAAGGAACGTTAACATCCCACCCCCCACCCCACCCCACACCATCAGAAGTGTAAGAGAACGTACAGCAACGTAGCATGACGTATGTGCAGAAGTGTAAGAGAACGCACAGCAATGAACGTTATTAGCCCACCCCACCCCCCCGCACCCCCCCCAAAGTCACATCACGCACATGGCCTCTTAGTGGCGTTGACACCCAAAACTTCCTACCTGACGTGAGAACATCTGAAGTCGTGAGGCAAACCGCCTGGGGTCGTTAGAGGCGGCGTGAGCGTAAAGAAACATAACTATTTATGGAAATCCCCATATAATCATACCACAATGGACATCAGATATCCAAGACATCCAAGACGCCTGTGGCATGACGGTTTGAACTTAGCGGTTTTACCACCTTTCCGCTGAGGTATGCCAACTTGAGCCCCAAGTTTCTGAGAAACTTGGAGAAGTCGATTATGCAAAATCCCTGGTAATTTAACCAATGTATGGTTTAACCATTATTAACCTGGTAATATAATTTTCTTATTTTTTTCTGGTTAATAATGTTAATATCCCTGGTAATTGATGGTTTATATTCGATTTATATAATGGGATAATATGATATTTCTGGTAATTGATGGTTTAGATTCGATTTATATAATGGGATAATATGATATTTCTGGTAATTGATGGTTTAGATTCGATTTATATAATGGGATAGTATTAGATATCCCTGGATACTATATATAATACCGTCTTATATTCTCCCATAGTTGGGTCCTATTGGTGGGTGGTCATCCATCTGTTACCCTCTGGTAATGACTAACATAGCCATTGAAGGTTGAAGATTGCCCATTTATGGTTGATTTACCTACTAACGATTGTGATGTTCCAGTTCGCTATGTCAGTTTACCAGAGGGTAATAGGAATTTGCAGACCCCTATAGGCCCATGATGTGTGAATTCTGAGATGGATTAAAATACCACAAAAAAGGAAAAAACAAAACCGCCCCCAAAAAAATAGATAGAAACGCTGGAAAGCTGAATAATTGTGGCTGGATCATCTAGAACATCCTGTCTGCACACGGTTATAACAGCAGCATCTTTGGGGGGACCACTGTGTAGTATGTTTTGACATTCTTGAGTTAAGTTATCAAGTAGATTGTAATATATCAAGTAATGTTAGCTTAGTTTGTAGTATGCGTAAGTTATCTGGTTGGTGGTTTCAAACATGTTTTATTTTCCATAATATATGGCACAATCCTTCCCAACTGACTTTCATATTTTTCAGAGGGGTAGGTCAACCACCAACCAGATAACAACTATAGTTCTCATGATGGTTAAATCAAGGTGAAATCCCCAAATTGTTGCATGGTAACTTCCGAAAATTCACCCATTGATGAATCTTTATGATCCCGTTGGTATCGTAGATTACAACTATATTAGTAGGCTATAGAAATATAACAACTAGAGTTACTGGTAGCATCGATAAAAAATGGTGAAATCCCCGCTTTTCTGAAAAAAAAACACCGAATTATTCTGGTTAACTTTTTTTTATCGCATAGTTACATTGCTGGTGACCAGAAAAATTGCTGGTGAAATAAATTTAACCAGTTCTCATAGTTGATGCATAGTGAAATAATGTAGTTATATCAATCCCCATTCTTCATGGGTTTTCTTCCTCAAATTATAGCGCCCCTTCTCCCATAGATGATGATAAATCCCCACAGTTGATCCTATATTATCTGATCCCCATTAAAATTCCATCGTTGATCCCCATGAAAATCGGTCACTTCCGGCCCGAACTCGCCGGCTGACTTTGGTCATGGGTCATTAAATGTCCCCATTGAACATAACCCAACCATTAGGTATATGGTCTATAATGGCTACTATAAGGTGATGTCCAATATTCCCAAAATGGGACAGTTACCAAGCCCTGTTTATAATGGTTAATGATGGTTAAATGATGGTTAAATGATGGTTTATATATACCCTCTGGTAATTTAAAGAGGTTGCTATTTACCAACCCCTATTGGTTCAGGAACCATGGGCCGCGCGGGCAAAGTGCTGGCCCTCCTGGCGCTGGTCTTCGTGGCACGGCGCATCGCGCGCTGGAGATCGGCCATCTGAGGCGGAAGGGTGGCCAAGGGGCGATGGAAAACATGAGGAAAATATAGGGAAATCATGGGGATATCATGGGGAAATCCTGGGAATTTGGTTTTTGATATGATTTTAACCATAGGGAAATGATGAGCTGACGAGCAAACAAAGTGGGGTTCATCAGTAAAAACGGGAAGTTCAGAAGTGAAAATGGTGGAGTTGATTTTGATAAGTTGTATTTGATCATAAAAAATGAATAAAAATGAGGTGTCATTTCATCAAAAATTGAAAGGTGTTTTTTGCAGCCACGGGATCTGGGAAAGAAACCCATTTGTTTAACGAACTTGGATATGGCCATCAATCTGGGTTCCATGTTAAATAATGGGTGTAAGTGTAACATGATTGATCGCGGGAAAATTTAAGGGTTGAAGCGGCAAAAGTGAGAATTCATCCCACATTCATCCCACATTTTGTGGGGAAGTGTGTCAGAACCCATATGCTCCATGTATGGTATATTTACCTACATTTGGTTGATTTTTAGGGCACATGTTGGTAAATGTTCCATACATGGAGCATATGGGGAATCAGATGTGACAAATGATTTTAACATCAACGATTTGTCCGGAAAAACATCGACAAGTCTTGAGATCTTGAGAATGGGGATGGTCATCAATGAATTGTTGGAGGGATTTATGTACCCATTATGTTTGGGATGGACGACCATCCTAATATCAAAACCAAATAAAAACCCAAAAACGTGGTTGCTGAATGATCAATTTGGGTTGTTACCCCGAAAAAAACAGTCATAATTTGAAAATTATGGGGAGTAACTCACCCTGTTACCCCTGTTTTACTCAGACTCCCCCCAATTAAAACAGGCCAGGGAGTTCTTCCTCCGTGGCTGACATCCCGACCTGCAGGTTTCAAGCCGACCGAAAAACCGCCTGACGCCTGCTGCGGCGACAACGGGCCGCGATGAACACCGCTGTTTAAAAGAACAGCGAAACTGGTTGGTGGTTTGGAACATGTTTTATTTTCCATAATATATGGGATATATAATCCTTCCCATTGATTTTCATATTTTTCAGAGGGGTAGGTCAACCACCAACCAGAAAAAAATGTTGCCGTTCCCAACCAGAGGGGGACCTCAGAGGTGCCAACTTGGGGCATCCAACAAGAGGGGCCATTTGACAGCCGTTTCCTATGTAACAAGATCATCTTGTTGCCCGGAATTAACAATTTTGTGGTATGTCCTAAGTCTTATAAATCTATAAGTCCTATTTCCCCATATGAAAAAAGGTGATGACATATCCTCTTATCCCATTATACCCCCATGATATCCCCAATTTTGAGCCATGCCCCTCAAATTGCTTGAGGCGCGTGTTTTAAAAAAGCTGCTGTCAGCTGCAGTCTGGTGCTACCACTGGAGGTGAATCAAGAAACAAATGCATGGCGCCACGTGGCCTTCGGGGTTCAAATTTGGGGAATTGCACACATGCCGATATACCCTCTGGCTATTTAACATAGCCATGGTATAGATGGCCCATAGAAATAGATGGTTTACCTATTAATAGCATGGTGATTTTCCATGGCTATGGCACAAATAACCAGATGGTATCACCAAATGCTGATGCGGATTTCACCAAGAAATTGGCATTTCGCAAGAAATGATAGGCATTTCACCAAGCAAGGATGGGGACAATTTTAGAGGGTTCAATACTGCGGACTTTGGATGTTCACTGTTGATCCTTTGTTGCAAGACTCCAAGTTTTGGTGATGGTATAATATCTTGGTCGGTTATATATTACATTGAAATCTATAATCTATATCCTTATGCTTCATCATGTTTATTTGTCTTCAAGGTCTAAATTGAACGATTGAAGAATTATTGTTGAGGGTGGATTCAAGGGCCCGCCGTTTCTTGACTATCCATATGGGTATGGATCAATACCTATTAATACCATTTTTAGTGGGTTATTCACATCCATAAATCCCAGCTATTTTGATGTGAACAGAAGGGGTACAAGGTTTCACACACTGCCATATCTTCTCCTTGCTTCCCAGAAGCTGTTCCATCACTGGCAGGTCCGGCAGATCCGAAGTTCCGCTGGAAAATGATGCGCGAGGGCGAGGGCGAGGATGGAGAATCCCACATGGGTTATTTCCACTGGTAAACGTTTACATAACGAACTGGAAAATCACCATTGAAATAGTGGATGTTCCCATGAATAGCATGCTGGATCTTTCCATATTTTTCCAGTTCGTTCCTGGTAAACGTTTACCAGTGGAAATTCACATGATCCTGGAGAATCTCATCCCATGAGAAACACCTCTATTTTTTTTGGATGGGGATTTTCTAGTTGCCAGGTTTGATAATCCCGGTGGTCAAATGACCAGTCAGATTGGGTCAATGTGTGAAGAGTTGGTATTTATGAAGGATAATTGGTTGGTAAGCATTGGTAAATGATGATTTTATATGATTTTAATACAATATAGGGCTTCATCAGCAAAACTTGAGGATATTTCTTGCAAATCCCGGTAGACCCACTGGTTTTTAGGGTTGGTTCCCAGCACAAAGCTGGATCTAACCAAACTTGGATCTAACCATGCCCGAAATTTGGAAGATGGAACCCAAACATAGCCATACTCTAAAGTAATGCTAGGTATAATGGGATTTTATAGTGATTTAATGGGGTACATGGTCCCTTTTCTTTTTTGGGGCATGTGGTCTCTGTCCTATGGTTGTTGCAGATAAAGCGATTCTTTTTTCCGCTGTATCCCAGCGGTGGGTGGCACGATTTTACCCAACACCCCGTATACACATAATCTGTGGTTCTTATCATCCTTGGGCATGATCAACATATTTGGTTGGTGGTTTGGAACATGAATTTTATGACTTTCCATATATTGGGAATAATCATCGCAACTGACTTTCATATTTTTCAAAGGGTTGAAACCACCAACCAGATATCCATTTGTGTCTGTGCGTGCTAATCATTTCCAATTGTTTGTTGGTCAACATCTCAATTTTTGATGCTTTTTGAAGATGCATTATTCTTGTGCAGTGACCCCATCCAAAAGGTCTGGTTTGGTTGACAACAGTTGATAACCCCATGTTTGTGATGTGAAGGTTTCCAATCCATGGGGGTACCCCTAGTTATCATCCATTTATAGATGGATTTTCCATGAAATAAACCATCCAGCTATTGGGGTACCCCTTAAGCAGGTGCTATACCATGATAGCTCGGTCAAACCATTCCTGGGTCACTGGGGTCCCTTGTGTTTGGTGGCTGGTTGCAAAGCAAATTCTTGGTGGTTGATATCAGTTGGCTCTTAACAACCATTCTTTGTATATCAACTATTAATATATATAGTAATATATACCATTCTTTGTATATCAACCATTAATATATATAGTAATATATAGTAATATATAGTAATATATAGTAATATATAGTAATATATAGTAATATATAGTAATATATAGTAATATATAGTAATATATAGTGATATATAGTAATATATAGTAATATATAGTAATATATAGTAATATATAGTGATATATAGTAATATATAGTAATATATAGTAATATATAGTAATATATAGTAATATATAGTAATATATAGTAATATATAGTAATATATAGTAATATATAGTAATATATAGTAATATATAGTAATATATAGCAATGTATAGCAATGTATAGTAATATATAGTAATATATAGTAATATATAGTAATATATTACTATATATTACTATATATAGTAATTATAGTGGTTGGGTGTAACCATTAATAACAATTCTTTGTGTATATCAATATATCAATTGTCAGCTTTAGCATTGTTAAAGGTCGACTTTCCCGGCAGGTGCAAAAACTTGGACTGGAACCAGTCGGCCGCCAAAGGCCTTGGGTCCAAGGCGCCGTGACCTTCGGCCCCAGGGACCACTAAGAAATGGGAGAAATCGAAAAATCCATGGAGAATCTATGGGATGCAGTGGAGTCAAGTACGGGAAAGATGGACTTGTTGTTGCCAATTAAATCATTAAAATGTCATGAAAATTACCATGAAAAATATGGAAAGTGCGATGGTTTTTTTCAGATGGATATGGACCATAAATAGGATATATAACATATTATTACTGGGTGGTGGTTTGGAACATGAATTTTATTTTCCATCATATATGGGTTGTCATCCTTCCCATTGACTTTCATATTTTTCAAGATGGTTAAAACCACCAACCAGATTTAACATTGGGATTTGACAAGATTTATCCATAGAAAATTGGGATTCAACTAAGAAAGCTGTGGGTATATGCTGAGTTAATTGGTGATAATGAGGCGGATATACGTGCGGGGGCTTAACCACCAGAAATGGGGTTTTAAGCATCAACCGTGGAAACCCAACCTTGGGAACGCAAGATTAGGAACCCAATGCTTACTGACCAGTTATATTATATATTTATACATACATATCATGTATGTATGTATGTATGTATGTATGTATGTATGTATGTATGTATGTATGTATGTATGTATGTATGTATGTATGTATGTATGTATGTATGTATGTATGTATGTATGTATGTATGTATGTATGTATGTATGTATGTATGTATGTATGTATGTATGTATGTATGTATGTATGTATGTATGTATGTATGTATGTATACATATATTATACATAATATATGTATATATACATCGATCCCGTCATTTACCAAAGGAGAGATTGATGGAACATATGATGATTGATGGACATGTTGGAAAAGTTGAAGGATTTTTTTCGCGGAAAATGTTGTGGAAAGTGATTGAGGGATGAATGGGAAATCCAGTGGAACATGTTTTACCCATTGTATGGTCGAAAATAATCGACAAATCACATGTACTTATTTGAGTAAATCCACATGTAATTTACTGTATCACAACATGGACATGTGTGGAAATCTCGGATTAGACAAATCTCGGATAGATCAATCTCGAATAAGATATGGGGATTTCCATAAATAGGGTTACCCCGAAACAGATTGTTTATAATGGAAATTTCATCTATAAATGCATGATTTAGGGGTACCCCCATTTCAGGAAACCTCCATATGGCTTCAAAGATTGAGGGGCTCACACAGAGTTTGAACATTTGGGCACACAGTTTTGACCTAAAAGATGGACTTAGTGACTAGGTGACACATGACTTGGCGTAAGGATTTGGCACAGGAAACATCCCATGATATCCCCATGATCGACCCGAGTCAAATCTCCATGTTGCATGGTGAAATCCAAGGAATTTATAGGGACCCCCAATGATGGTACCCTCCCAAAAGTTCCTATCATATTATTCCTATTGGGTGTTTCTTATAAATTCCATGAAATCCACATTGTTCATGGTAGATCCATGGTTCTTGCCACGGATCAACGTAGATCATAGAATTGGATGATGGGAAAATTGAAACCGGAAACCCCTATATTTCATGGTAAAAACCCATTGGTTTCCGGTTCGGATTTTCCCCAACAAACCAATCCATTGAGTAGATTTCAACCGCGGTTTCGAGGCGAGTTTTCTAAGCCTCGTGGACCGTTGTACCATGGCACAACTGGGACAACGGCTCTTGGGCGCCGAGCTGGAGGCGCCATGTCTATCGTAAAACTGATGGAGATTTAGCCGGCCTGGTAAACGTTTACATAACTAATTATAGTGATTAATGATGGTTAATAGTGGTTAATGATGGTTAATAGTGATTAATAGTGATTAATGATGGTTTTCATAGTGTTTAATGCTAATTGATAATGGTTAATAAAGGTTAATAGTGATGGGTACCCTCTGGTAAACGTTAACAGAAAAATTATGGAAAGATTCACCATGTTTAATGGGTAAATCCACTATTTCGACTGGGCCATTTTCAATAGCGAACTGTTAAATTACCAGAGGGTAGAGTGATTCAATGTGATTTCATGGGATTTCTATGGGAAATTGACCATCATTTAATGGGATTTAATGGGGATATACTTGGGATAGTAATTGGATAGTTACTATTATACTCCCCAAGTCAGATGCCGAAGAGTATTTCCAGGATGGTAGTTCGATGACATTTACCATATATGTCCAGGTGCGTGCAAGTGTTCTATCTATTTTGGGGTTGCTGGTGATTTCACTCTGAAGTGGGGAAGTCAAGTGGTTTGGGGTCCAGCAAAAATTGAAAATTGCCATTTATAGTGAGTTTTCCCATTAAAAATTGTGATTTTCCATAGTTATGTAAATGTTTACCAGAGGGTAACATGACTGGGATATAATGGAATAATGAAAAATGCATGTTTGATACTACGTTAAAAATTGCCATCGATTGCTTTTTCTGGTATTATCCTGCTAAGCACTTCGTCTTTGATTTTGGAACTCAGCCTGTTATATTTGGCCATAGCCGGTGGTTTATTTGTGGGAGGATTTTCACCGACCCATGAACTGGCAAGGCGGTTTTCGACCAACCAAAATGTCAATGGATAACGGTTCAGGTGTTTTTGGTACTACCCAGCTAAGAACTTTGTCTTTTTGCTCTGCGTCTCTATAAATTTCTAACTATTCAATGATTATCCCAATTATATCCCCATTAAATCCCATTAAATGATGGTCAATTTCCCATATAGAAATTCTATGTGTTTGATGCGAGTGTAGTAACATGGGATGTTGCCTCCAACGATCCAATGGCCAAGTCCTTTACCCCCAGCGGTACGCGGTAGTCTCCCCTTGACCAAGAACTTGGATGAATGTTTGGGACAAGAATCCACTACCCTCTGGTAAACGTTAACAGAAAATCTATGGAAAGATCCACCATGCTATTAATGGGTAAATCAACGAACTAAATGGCCATGTTCAATAGTTACGTTAGTCATTACCAGAGGGTAACGATTGATGTTTTTTAAGATGACCTGTAACTCATTGTAACTCACTTAGATCCGCAGGCCATGATCATGTTTATCCATGTTTTGTGGCTGAAGACTCTCCGGTACTCAAAAGTGGCAATGGAAAAAACACGAAAAAAATGGAGGTCATATGGAGGTCTTACCCTCTGGTAAACTAACAAAGCTATTGAAAATGACCATGTATAGTGGATTTACCCATTAAACATGGTGAGTTTCCATAGTTTTGTGTATGTTTACCAGAGGGTAATGGGAAAATGATCGATGAATGGCGTATTTTCCAGCCGTCTGATGACACCCGAGGGTATCCCTCATGTTTAAGTTGCACATGGCCCCTTTGCGTAGGCCTTGAGCGATGCTCATCGCGCGTTCCTTTGGCAGCACCAGAAAATGAAGGGTTCTTGGATATAGACCTGGTGAGGAATGCATGATCAGAAGTTTGGAATCGGTTTAACAAGGTACCCTCTGGTAAACAAACATAGCTATTGAAAATGGCACATTTATAGTTGATTTAATTACCTATTAAAGATGGTGATTTTCCATGGTTATGTTAGTTTACCAGAGGGTAACCAATAAAAAAACAGCGCCAAAAAACCTTAATGTTCTTGAAACGAGCCATGAAAAATACCGAACTGTTAATGTGTTAATATACGGAGTTATACTCACTGGCTTATTCGGGACTATCCATATATCATAAGGAATATGTTTTTTTCTGCATCACGCTGAGGCCTGCGCGAGATCTGGAAAAGGAAAGACAATATATAACACGAATGTTTACTAAGCGTCAGCATAATTGGAATATGTTCCAACCAATAGCAGATTGTGGAATGATTTACCAATACTTAGTGGGATTTTTCATGACCAACGAGTATTACAATAATACTGGTGAAATATATTGTCGACCAAATATGGTGAAACACGAAATACTGGTGAAATATGATTGGTTTTATCGATATATATATATATATATATATATGGTTTTGATACATCATATTACAAAAATACTGGTTAGATACTGGTTTTGAAATATATGTTTGATGAACCACCCAATAGCAGATGGTTATGTTGGTACTAACCAACCTATAGATTTACTATTTAATCAACATTCACCAACCAACTAATGGGTTTTTTTCTCATGACCCTGCTCTCCTTCGCCACTCTCAGGTTGCTACTGCGACATATCGTCCTGATTTACGGTGCAGCCAGGACCTTGACCACGCAAGCAGGCGACGCGGGCGCAGCGATGTCAAGGGGGCAAGGGATCATTAGGAAATCTCAATGGGTCATTGGTATTTTCATGGGATTTAACTGATTTAACCATCAAATATGGTATTTTAATGGTATAATAATGGGATTTAACCCATGGGATTTACCCTCTGGTTATTTAACATAGCCGTGGAAAATGGCCCATTTATAGATGATGTTCCCATTAAAACCTCCATTTATAAGGGTTTTTTTCCATGGCTAATGTTAAATGACCAGATGGTAACTGATTTAACCATCAAATAATGGGAGTATCATTGGATATCATGGGAATAACAGACCAATTACTGGTATATCATAGGTTTTAATCTGGAAAAAAGAATGGTATAAACCAGCCATGACTGGGAATGGTAACCATAGCACCTATAAAAATGGTGAAAAAGGTCAAAACAATAGGAAAAAATGCGGGGAAAACAATGTCATAAACGCACCATCCCCCAGGAAAATCAGCATTTTTATAGGTGGTATAAACTTACCATTCCCAGTCGACTGGGTGGGTCATGGCATTGTTTTACCCACATCTGGGCAGAAGATGGCGGGTTTGGGACGATGTGGTCACGACCACAGCTCTACAGCTCTCGTAGCGAAGGCAGAGGAGCTGGAAAAGAAGATCAATATGGGTGTGTCTGAAAATAGTGTACCCCTAAACCCAATGGTTAATGATCATTATCCCTATTAAATGGCTATAATTGGGAATATACCCTATTTTCAGACAAACCCATATGGTATCACTATAAAGGTATCTGGTGATATGGTAGGTACCTCCGGAACATAGTGATATTTTTTTAGGCAGAGAATTTATATATGGCCTTATATATGCTAGGTACCTCCGGTTTAGGTACATAGTGATAACAACATGGTGTTATCTGATTGGTGGTTTGGAACATGTTTTATTTTCCCCAATAGTTTGGATGATGATTCAATATGGCTTTCATATTTTTCAGAGGGGTAGGTATACCACCAACCAGAGAAGAAAGATCAAGAAGACAAGAATAGGACATCAAGAGGAGAAGGGAAACACAAAACCGAAGAAGACGAGAAGAGGGGACGAAAAGAAGGAAAAACAACCAAACCATGGACTGGGTATAGTGTAAGTTGCTGGTCAAAACATGTCAACATCAAACACGGCAGAAATAGTTTGGTGAACATGTTTGTTGTATTTTGATGTATGTTGAAACAAACGGAACAAAAACAGATTGATGTTCACCCAGGTATCAGGGGACCTATGCCCATGGTGGGGCGTGACTGCGAACCCTGCAAAACGACACAAAAACAGCGGTTGTAACGAACAGTTCAAAGGGTTTGACAGTCATGGTTGGACTGAAGTTGGGAACGTGGTTCTTGAAATCTTGAAAAAGAAAGTCCGGCAAATTTTATCAGCGAAACAAGATCTGTCAATCAAATGAATCATGCGTTGCTTTGGATTATCCTGTTTTTGTTGCCTTGCCACATTATACCATAATTGGCTGGTTTATCCCATTATTTTTTTGGATTATCTTTGGATTATCAACATGTGAGATCGATTATTATGCAGCAATGTATATTATAACATGTGGATATAAAAGATGATATGCCATTATTTAAGGATATTATGCCATTATTTAAGGTGTCAATGTATCATCACGAGATACGTCACAGAGATTGGACCCCTCTCCCCATGCCATGGAAAATCTCCATCGTCCAAACATGGAGTGCCAAGTTTACCCCATGCCATGGTGGCCATGAAAGAACGGCGGAAACAAAATAATACCCGGCCTGGTAAACATACAAAAAGCTATTGAAAAAGGCCATAGAAATAGTGGATTTGCCCATTAATAGCATGGTGATTTGCCCATCGTTTTTTGTAAACGTTTACCCAGAGGGTATGAACTTCGGACAACTTCGGACATGGCTTTCTCATCAGCTCAGACTTCTGCAATGTTACAGTTGAAGAGCATGGCACAAAAAGGCATTAAACTGTTTAACAGTTCAGCTGTGATTCTATGTGATATTCTATCTTTCGGCAATTAAAGCATGGAACATATTATTATCATAAACCATTGTATTCTAGGGTGGTTACCTCATTTTCGGACAAATCCAGATAGGAACAGTTTTTGCTGGCTATGAATCGCCATGTCTAAACAGTTTTCCAGACTTGGATCTGCTGAAAAACACGATGCATGAATAGCCAAGATCAGCAGGCTCCCTCGGATCTTGTTCCACAATTGCTTGAATGGGCATTGTAACCGAAAACCCTTCTATTTGGTGGCAAATAGACCTTATTTTTCCTGTGATTTTCCCTGAAAAATCACTTCATTAAAAACTATCGAAACCCAACTTCTGGATTTCAATGAGGAACCCCACTATATATATAATGGATAAACAGTATAAAACTTTTGATATCAAATTGATCTTCCGCTTGGACACCACGGCGCAGCCATGGCTGAGCTGCCAAAGATAGCTGGAGGCGGTTTGTACATGGCTGGGACGAAACTTGAACCTTGAACCATCCAAAATATGGGATTCCACAAACAAAAATGCTGATTTGACCATCAAACATAGGGGGGCTCACAATCACAAATTCGGATGTAAACATCAACATGTAGTGATTAAAGCATCAAACATGAGGATTTAACCATGAAAAATGAGGCGACGAACCCACCAAAAGATGCTGGTTAAAGGGGCGAGTTCACCATGACAAATTGGCATCAATTTGTAGGTATTTATGTATTTAACCAGATTTAAGCATCAAACATGAGGCTTCAAATGCCGAACTATCGAAAAGTGAAGAGTTGGCTCAGTTGGCTATCAACAAAATTGCAGGAACCTTTATGTTTTCAAGATAGCGATTTGACTATGTGGACATGGGGGTTGTAGACGAGAAATCGGGGGACCCGCAAAAGGTCTATTGAACTTGCTAGAAGATTCTGGAAGGACCAGCTTGAAGGATGCCTGAATTTGTATCCGAATTTGGCATGATTGTGCAGTGCGTCAAAGCTAATAAACCACATACCCCATTAGCCAAAATGTGCAAGAAATGGGGTATTGAAAACCAGGGCCGCACACAAAAGGGAGGTAATTGATGGCATTGGATTTGGGTTTGTTACTACCCCAGAATTTCATCGTCGATCATGTTTGCAGGTGAAGAAGTCTTGGAGGACCCGGAAAGCTGGGGTGGGACCGCGGTGGGGGTTGATTTGTGCCATAAAAATGGTGATTTCGGGGATTGTTTATTATTGAGTATACCACACAGCCAAAATTTGGGGATATAAGTAAAGACAATGGTGAAACATGCGAATTCCAGCGACGGTTTTAAATCGGCATGTATCTGAACAACATCCGCCAGAAAATACGGACTTTGGGATGTTACCCTCTGGTAAATCAACAGTTGGACCCTCAAAATAGCTTAGTTTTAATGGAAACTAATCTTCCAACCCCTATCTGCCAGGGTCTATGTTAATTTACCAGAGGGTAATTTGTTGGGAATTTTGAAATCATTTAGTGCTTGACTCTAGTACACTCTAGATATTCGGGTGAAGTTGCACAGCAAAATTGGCACATGAATGTATTTGTATCCTCATTGCATTCCGGAATACCTGTGGTTGCACATACTGTAAATGTAATTAAGATTAGGCTAGTTGTTGCCCTTCGGGCACATTCATTCACTTTTCATCATTCAACGCTGATCACTAGCAAATACATTGGTTGCCCAAACGGGCACAAAAATATTTGGCCACAATTCGAAGCGGACGGCTATGCAGAGTCGTGATAATTTCAGGATGATGGTGCGATCTGCATATATGCGAGGAATCTACGTGCAAAGAATTTCCACAGGGAACAAAACTGCAGACCCTCCATGCCTGTGTCTTCACAAAGACGCAATTCCAAGCAAGGCTTTTGGAAGAAGTTTGCCATCAATCTCCTATTGCTTTTGTTCGGTTGTGAGCGCGATCATCTCCGTATTTCCTGGACGTTCGAGAGTTGCCGCACAGATGCAGCTGGAAATGTTCAAGAAGCTGGGTTTGTTTCCGAAACACGATGTTGGCATTGTACTTCCACTTTCAGACACGGCCAAACATCATGTGGTTGCTTGTATCTCCACTTGATGTTCCATGAAACATCCGCATTCTTGGTCCAATCTTATTGTTTAATGGTGTTGAACCAGATTAATACTAGATTCTTCATTCTTCTCCAAATTACACAAACTTAGGATTTAGTATTCATATATTATACATGAATATCAAATTAAAATATAATATATATCTGGTTGGTGGTTTGGAACAATTTTTATTTTCCATAATATATGGGTTGTCATCCTTCCCATGGACGAACTCCATCATTTTTCAAGATGGGCACATTTCACCACCAACCAGATATATCTCCTACCCCCAAGTACATCCCAAGGTGAATCCCCACCTTTCCTCAATGGTTATTTCAGGAACCTAAATTGGAGGTACCATATATAAGGCCTATTTTTCAGGCCTATGTTTCAGGGAATATCCCCACAAAATATGGCCAAACATATGGTACTAACGTACCTCCATCTGTTGGATCCTGAAATTCCCATTGAATAGTTGTCAAATGTTGTTAACAATCCCCAGAATATGGTTAGTAAACCTATGAATGGATCAGAATAACCATTAATCGATGGAAATTACCATTTTTCTTAAATTCCCATAGATATATGGGATATGATATTTTTATCTGGGAAAATCCTCCATATCCCATGACGGATGGTGCTGGTATATATACCAACATGATTTCCCCATCCAGGATCTTCCGTCCGAGCAGCTGGTGATCTTCATTCGCCATGCGGAAAGTCGTTGGAACCGCGCGCAGGTGACCGAAGGGTGACCGGTCACGGGGTGACCGGCGTCGACCGCTGAACACCGGGGAAAGAATCGGTGATTTTACGTAGGAAAAATGGGGAAAATCATGATGTTTACATGGGAAAATTGTGATTTTCCCGGGGAAAATTGTGATGGTTGATGATGTTTTTCCCGGAAAATTGTGATTTCATCGCGATGTTTCTAGCGAACATGGGGTTTTTTGATGATTTTTCTAGGGAAAATGGTGATTTTTATGGTGATTTACTGGGTTTTTTAGGGTGAATTACTGGGTTAAATGGCCGCCTTGGTTGTTTCACATAGCTATGGAAAATGGCCCATAGAAATAGATGATAAACATGATGATTCACCTATTAAAAACGGTGATTTTCCAAAGGGCTGGGGTGAACATACCGATGTGGAGAAGCCATGGTTCTTGTAGGAAGATGATCTACAAATTCTGTTTTTTTCCACACTGCTTGTGTTAGTTTGCAGGAACCAGCCAAAATGGTGGTAGAATGAGGACGTTAAGGGATATTATGGTGAGCTGTCAAACATCAGATATATAGATATGTTTGGTGGATGTTCAGAATGAATTCTGGAGAAGTGATTGTTGGTCTGCACAAAATGAAGATTGCAGAACAATTTGCAGAGTTTGGCCTCAACATGGGTACTTTTCATGGACTTTCATGGTATATTCATGAGTGTCCCTATCCCAAATGGTTATAAAAGTACATAACTGGTTGGTGGTTTCAAACATTTTTTATTTTTCCATATATTGAATGTCATCATCCCAACTGACTTTCATATTTTTCAGAGGGGTAGGTATACCACCAACCAGATAAAAGTGAGCCATCAACACCGAATCAACACCGGAAAATAGGCATGACACAACAGACAGGTGGTTTTTTCATCAACAACGTTTAAGCATGTTTAAGTATCCTGGTTGGAATTTCAACTGTAAACTAGTGGACTTGGGTCCTCTGTAAAACAGGTTTTTCAATGGTTTTTGCAGTCCCCTCAGGACCATGTACCTTTGCATTTTGCAGTAACCCTAGATCATATATTATATGGGGGTTTCCATAAATGGGGGTACCCCAAAATGGATGGTTTATAAGGGAAAATCCAATTAAAGTGGATGATAACTAGGGGTACCCCCATTTATGGAAACCCTCATATGTTTTTAGATTCAAACATGGGCTGGGTCATAGTATTTTGTAGTGGTTAAGTATGCGAGATAATAGTCGACCCTAAAATGGATATCTGAGTTCACTCAGATTTGCCGTAAAAGTACTAAAGTAGTGAATTTGTGGGTTTCCAAGTTCAATGCTAAGATTTCCCCAGAGTAGTTTTCAATTTACATAATACCCGTTGCGGTTCACTGCTGAATTTGCATTTCCACGTCTACTTCGACACAACTGAGAAAAACATGCACAACACACACACAAACCAAGGATTGGACAGTCCATTTCGATTGATGCTCCCACTCTGCTTGTCACAGTCAATCAACACCGCACTGTCTTTGCGACATACTAACGGAAAAAATGCACAGAAATCAAATGAACATTGATGTGCAACAAAATACAACAGCAAAAAGATGTGCCCTTTGACGTGCCCTGACTTAAAGCCAATGCCAGTCACTACAAAATGTAACTTGAAAAATCAAACATATGCACCATCTTGCAGGACCTCTTCTCAAATGAAAAGAGCTTGAATTTTCTAGGTCCGCTGCTGAGACACGCTGGGTCTGTGACTTCTCTTGGATCATGATAAGGCTCACTACAAAATGCAAACGCTGAAAAACCATGCATTCCAGTTTGATCAGTGGGATCTACTTAAAAATCACTACAAACATCTACTTGTTTTTTAAGAGGATCTTGAAGGGCCTCTTCTCAAATCCCTTGTTTTTTTAATAACCCTTTATCCAGGCTGGGTTGCACTGTCATGACCCAACAGTCATCCTCAAATACCAATCCCGATGTTTAAGTGATGCCTCCGTTTAGCCATTGGTCGACTTAGTGCTGGGTCAGGGCAGTGGTGTTTGGAGAAAATCATAGACTTTCTATGTAATAAATCGAGAAAAATGCGAAGGAATAGGGGTCTTGACAAGTCAGAAAAAGAGAAACGAAAATTCGCTCGTGCATTATATTGTTTACCATGTTTACCTGCGTTGTCTTTATCTAGAGTAGAAAACATTGTTTTTTCCCACATTCTTGATGTCTTCAGACAATGATGACGAATTGTTTTGCATAATCAGTCTTTTGCCCTAGTATTTTTCCATGTGTGGCCCACATGTTTATCCAAATTGAGCCTTTTCAGCCCATCGTTCACCTTTATTTTGAAAAATATATCCAAAAGAATTGTTTATGATTCTTCTTTGATGTGGGGATGGATCAGAACCTATCATTCCCATATTTGGGGTTGGTTGCGGTACACGCAAATCGGCGAAAAAGGCTGCACGACCAAAGGGGAAAGAGGTTCGTCGCAGTATTTCAAGACTCTGCTGGCAGACCTCGGTTTTGTTGCCCCAGAAGGAACGACGTCAGAAGACGCAGATGATCGAGTGCTGACCGTCGGGTTGCCGCGATGGTTGCCGCAGTTCTACGGCGACGTCGAAAACAAAGGGCTTCGCCTGGTGCCGTTCAATGCCGAAGCCACGGGAAACCATTTCTTGGCAGCAGATCGCGACGCTTGCCTGCGTCTGCGGACACAATGCGGTGCAGTTGCATGACTTGATGACTACATTATTTCAATGACCAGATTGGATGAACATCCACAAGTCCCAAGTATTTTGATGAAAACTAGGGGTACGAGGGTATTGACCCTTAGCAAATGTCATGAAAATTACCATGAGAATATGGAAAGTGCGATGGTTTTTTTCAGATGGATATGGACCATAAATATGATATATAACATATTATTACTGGTTGGTGGTTTGGAACATGTTTTATTTTCCATTTCATATATGGGTTGTCATCCTTCCCATTGACGAACTCCATCATTTTTCAAGATGGCTATTGCACCACCAACCAGTGCACATAATGACACAGAAATCAGTATATATGGCAACCATATTCTCTGGATAGTTTACCGAACCTAAAAATGGGTGGATCTTTCCATGGCGAACTGTTAGTCATAACCAGATGGTATAGCATATGATTACCATGATATAGATATGTTATTCATAAATTACCATATCTATATGTTATCTCCATATCCATTATTACAATAAATATATATATATATCCACATTTATCTCCATCATAAATGGATTATCATAAATATTGTTTCTGATAATATATTCCATATATTTACTATTAACAATATATTGTTTCAAGTAGCTCCCCCAGATTCCTCCATTTTCCCAGGCCGCGCTTTCGCCTTTGGGGATGCTGTGGGAGAATGTCGCTCGGCGTGTCACCGTGAAAACCAGATTTCTGGAGCTATGAAACAACCATGTTTGGCGCCCTAGGTATAGCAAAACTGGTTGGTGGTTTGGAACATTTTTTATTTTTGCATTCAGTTGGGAAGAGTAACCCCAACTGACGAACTCCATCATTTTTCAGAGGGGTAGGTTTACCACCAACTAGAAAATAGATGAAAATAGTTGTTTTATGACGGTCAATGGATGGTTATTCCAGTCATATACGGTAATAATAATAATAATAGTTGGTTTTTGATCCATCCCCATCTGGGGAAGATTTGATGGGATAAAAAGACCTGTTTAGGTAGGAGTTAATAAGAATGAACTCTTGATGTACCAATGGGATATGTTGCCATGGGAACCTATGGGATTGTACACTGGGATTTTACCAAACCCATTGTTTTCTTGTATATAAATCTATGTTATGGGATTTTGTTGATGTGATATTTCATGGAACAGGTTTGGCAAGCTAAATGATAGCCACACGCAAGAAACATGTGTCGTTTTACCTCTATATGTGCACAGCTTCAGGGGTTGGGAGCGACCATGACAACCAACCAGAAAAAGTAAAGGGGTTTGACCAACCACTGGAAATCAGGGTAGAAACCAAGCATATAAAGGATATCATGGGGTATGATGAATATAATATGAATATATTTCACTCATATGAGATTTGGGTGTGATGATTTAGAACTGGTGGTTTCAATACCGTTCAAATGTTTAATATCAATATCTTCCAACACCCTTCAAGGTATTGATAGTTCCTAATCAATATCAATATCATATACCATCTGGTTATTTAACATAGCCATGGAAAATCACCATTTTTAATAGGTAATCCTCTGTAAATGGGCCATTTCCCATGGCTATGTTAAATAGCCAGAGGGTAACCTCAATATCTTCCGATAGTATCAATAACCTCAATATCTTCCAATATCATTCAATATCTTTCAATATCACCACTGATGATATGAGGTTATGCATACTTCCCAGCACCTAGGACCATGGCCTCTCAGAGGACGGGGGGGTTTTCAGGCTTTGGGCTTTGATGGTCTGAAAGTAGCATGTAGCTATGAGTCAAAACCTATACCCTCTGGTAAACTAACATAGCTATTGAAAATGGTGATTTAGTTCGTGGATTTACCCATGAATAGCATGGTGATGTTCCATAGTTACGTAAACGTTTACCAGAGAGTAGTAATACCATGTAATACCGTAGTTACAGGGATGAAATCCATTTGCCAGCCATTGTGATGTGAAAAAGATCATAGTTGGTTTCATGGAAAATTGTTTTTTTTCTGGATGCTAATAGCTAGCATCTTTGGGGGGACGACCATCCGTTTGCCAGCTATGTTGATGGTGACCCAGGGCTCAGCGTCCATTGAAGGTGGGGATGTTCGTTTACGAGAGCGAAGTTGCTGCAATAACTTCACTACTATAGGGTCATGGCAAGTTATAGTGAATATGAACCAGCTGGAGTTTTATAACTTGCCTTTTTTAATATTCACTATTGTAGGCTTATGGCAATGAATATGGATTATAAACCAGCTTTCCATTGGGGGGGGCCACTTTGTGCACAAAATGAAGGAACCCAGTCACAGGGTGGTAGTGCAGTAACATAACATTGTGTTTGTCTCGAATTTGGGAACCATAAGATTGAGTGATTGATCACATCTTCCCCGTCAAAATTGTAGAAACATGATCTTGGTGTTGGAATATCATGAATATCAATAACCATCTGGAATGGTTTATGAACATCAGGAATATCAAACAATCGGAATATGATTTATCACATTATCAATATCAAAATAATGTGTCGAAATTTCATGATATTTATTTATCATTTTGGAATACCCTCTGGTGAACTAACATAGCAATGGAAAATGGCCATAGAAATAGTGGATTTTCCCATTAAACATGGTGGATCTTTCCATTGCTATGTTAGTTCACCAGAGGGTAAGTGCCATTAAATCCCATTAAATTCCATTAAACCACCATTTTCCCATGGTTTTCCTATGGTTTACCAGAGGGTATCATATGTTCCATGATTATCCCCCCCATTTTTGGAGACTTTGCCGGTTTCCGCGTGTTTTTCACATCGGTCAACCGCTTGGAGGACTTGGATGGGGATAGCAAGCCATCAAGAATCCCACTCCCCCAAATATGGATATCTTATATAGTTATTAATGGAGTGGGATTAATAGATACCTACATTCTATATGGAATATATATGGTTTTTTCAGATGGATATTGAGGTTATTGATACTATCGGAAGATATTGAGGTTACCCTCTGGTTATGACTAACATAGCCATGGTATAGATGGCCCATAGAAATAGATGGTTTACCTATTAATAGCATGGTGATTTTCCATGGCTATGTTAAATAACCAGATGGTATATATTTATTAATGGAGTGGGATTCATAGATGTCTAATGTAGGCTGCCTAATAATAAAACCCCCGCTAAATTCAGATGGATATGGACCATGAAATATGATATATAGCATAGCATATATTTACTGGTTGGTGGTTTCAAACATGAATTTGATTTTCCATCATATTGTAGGGATGTCATCCGAAACCCATTGACGAGCTCAAATTTTGCAAGATGGCTATTGCACCACCAACCAGATTATTAATGGAGTGGGATTAATGATTAATAGATACCTACATTGTATATGGATTAATATACATTATATGGAATATATATTATATATGAATGTGAAGAATATATATTAATAATTAATATCAGTAAAATAATGTGGTCTAAGATTAGTCTTCCTTCCCATTATTAAGGTGTTATATTAAAAGTAAACTCGAAAATCCCACATTGCGTAAAACATCGTCAAACTAGTCCAATCCAAAAATTGAATTATTGATTCGATATCATGTAAAAATATCTCCATTATTATTTATCATGTAAAACATTTGGGGACGTCATATTAGGTTAGTCTTCCCATTCTTTAGGTTCATATTCAGATTAAAACAGTTGATATGAACCTAAATGATATTACATCATATCCCTATCCAACCAAATGATCTAATTATGTTGGGTTGGGAGAATTCAGTTTCTTCATATTCATCATATCCCTATGATTCTCCCCAACCAAAACAGCTCCAGGAGGGTCGGCTTCAAGCCGAACGGCTCCGTACTAAGCTACGGGAGGCGCAGGCCATCGTTTGGATGAACAAAATGCTGCGGAAACCAAAGGTTCACCAGCTTTAAAATGAGATTGGCATTTAAAAATAGGGGGGAAAACTGAGATTTGGTGGTTAGGATGGAAAAATCACGAAAAATGTCATGATTCACCAGCAAATTGCCGCAATTGGATGATTCAACGAGTTTTAAAAGTTGTTACTTGGAATTTCACTGGGAACCCACCCAGAAATTGTTGTTTAAAGTTTTAGATAGTGGAAAATGGTTCAGTTCCGAAGCGGCTGGAAATTCCTCATAAGAATTAGGTCTCCTCACTTCATTGATACATTGGTTGGCACCACAAGTTGTTATTTTTTCCCAACCAGCCAATGTTTAACTGGTTGGTGCTTTGGAACCATGGATTTTATGACTTTCCATTGGGAATTTCATCATCCCCATCTGACGCACTCATATTTTTCAGAGTGGTAGGTTGAAACCACCAATCAGTGAATGACAAGATGCTGTCAGACTGGGAAAAGACGACAATGTTAAGTCGGATTTAAGTCGTGTTCAGTACTGAACATCCAGCTTCCAAAAAGCACACATTGGACAAAAAAAAACAGCAAAGATTGAGATGATATCTGGTTGGTGGCTTTAAAGATGTTGGCTATTTTCCATAATATATGGGATAATCCTTCCCATTGATGAACTCATATTTTTCAAGATTGTTATTGCACCACCAACCAGTGTACATAATGACACAGAAATCAGTATATATGGCAACAATATTATCTGGATAGTTTCTTGTGACCTCATTCAGGAGTAGATAGTATATCCACCAATGCCAATGATTGGACAAATTACAATATACGATGGTACAATTTTATCTGGTTGGTGGTTTGGAACATGTTTTATTTTTCCATTCAGTTGGGAATAGTAACCCCAACTGACGAAGTCCATCATTTGTCAGAGGGGTAGGTCAACCACCAACCAGCTGATGATGGGTTAGTAATGGAGTATAATCAACATTAATCATCACTAACTATCATCACTCACTATCAGTAATATTCCAAACCAGTTATAGTGGATCTAGACAATCGGATTGGTACCATATTTCACCTTCACATGGATGGCGCCAAATAGATGGAGGTGTCTCAAATTCCCCTGTTCAGTAAGTCCAACAAGTTGAAGCAGGTGAGCAATACTCAGAAAAAGAGGTTTTTGATCAAGTGCAACATTATGAGTTCACCCCAGATGTTTCGGTTTTGATGAAAATCCCCATGAAGATTGCTGGTTATACCAACCGCATCCTGGTTCAAGCCCCCACAATTGGTGTCGGCAAGGCGCATGGAGTGGAAGAGATGAAGGAATCCGAAGCTGGAGAGGCATGGGATGGGGGCCTGGGAGCCTGCTTGATAGATCTACCCGAGTCACTACCCAAATCTCGCCATATTGGGGGTTGAATCCGAGTGAAATTCTGAGACCAACCAACTCTCTAGTGTAAAAGGAATTGTTCAAAGGGCTTTGCAACACTTTTGAGGTGATTTTTGGTACCTGGTGGTGACTTAAGGTGACTTAAGCCGTGCAAAATGCTGGTGGCCAAAAATGTGGAGACGACTACCAGCGAACCTGGGATGATCCTGGGATGTTTCATTGGTACTGCAAAAGCACCTACTGTATTTTCAGCATTGTGGTAATCAGTATGAGTCACTGAAGAGCGAATTTCTATTTAGGCATGGAGGAAAGGCCATCAGTTTGGATGACGTACTCTTCTATCATGATTTGAAAGTCATTGGCTGGTAGTACGGCAGTAGAACATGCACAAGAGTTGTGCGAGAAGAAACTTTCGTGACCTGCCGGTTTTGTTTGGTTATTATTTATATCCTTAATTATTCCTCATATTCAAATCCGATTATATCATATCCCTTTGGTAATTCAGCTCTTGAAAATAGCCATTCATAGTTGATTTAGCCATTAAGGATGGTGATTTTCTATATCTGAGTTTACCAGATGGTATCCCTCTTTGGGGCTTCAATTTCCCATCGCGTCTTCCGTGAAGTCTTGGGCGGGCGACCCTTTCGCGCTCAGCAGGCTGCGTGGCTTTCCAAACTGCTCAGTTCCATGGCAGGCATTTTCTGGAGATACCCGGCCTGGTAAACGTTTACATAGCGAACTGGAAAATCACCATCTTATCATCTTTAAGTTCGGTAAATCAACTATTTCAATGGGCCATTTTCAATAGCAAACTGTTAGTCATTACCAGAGGGTACCCTCTGGTCATAAAACATGATGAAACATGGCAACGGATGTTTTTTCTTAAACAAGTAGTAATTGTTGTTTTTCTATACATGGAGATTTGTCATGGGAAAATCACTACGGGTTATTGTTCGCCAGGTTTGATTACGGGAGGGGTATCTTAAATGGACGTTCTGGGGTAACTTAGATTGATGTATGTTTTGAATATGTATATATATATAATAATAATATATATATATAACATGGGAATTGGACCGGGTAGAACTCAGATGAGATGGGTTTGTCAAAAATTGAGTATCATATTGCCTCAACTTATGGCGATTGTGATAGGGAGACTAATCATAAACAACTATATGGACTTTAGGGGGTCCGCCATCTTTGGCCCACTCAGAGTGCCATTCTCATGGATACACCCCTAAAAATAGCACTGGTCCCCTTTTTTCGGATGATCTTTGGAACGATCATGGGATATCCTAGAAGATTTGATCTTGGTGATCTGGGCTGGTTGGTGGTGACTGGAACCATGGTTTTTTTAATGGGTTATTCCATGGTGTTTTTAATGGGATATTCCATGGGATATCATAATCAATAATGGAACCATGGAATTTTGAATGACGGATTATGACTTTCCACCTTAAACTCACTCCATCATTTTTCAGAGGGGGTAGGGCCAAATATTCCACCAACCAGTGATGGTCTCTACCACTGGGTTGCCAGGAAGACTTCAGCCGGCTGAGTTTCCTATTTCCTCAGGTCCCGATGTGGTGTACAGTTCGTCCGAACCTCGATTTTTGGAATGGAAACACGTCGCCTGTGCACAGAGGTTTTTCACTGGATCCGTGGTTGGGGTTTAGGATTTTGCAAATTCCAAGGTTTTTTATGCGGTTTTGTACCCTCTGGTAAACTAACATAACTATGGAAAATCACTATTTTTAATGGGAAAACTCACTATAAATGGCCATTTTCAATAGCTATGTTAAATTACCAGAGGGTAGATATTTCATGAACATGTGGAAATCCAGTTTTTTTCCTCGTTGTTTAATCCAACTTTTTTCTGGTTTCATGATTTCCAATGATTCGGCCCAAACCAACAGGCACAGGCCTCAAGGCTTTTCTTAAAGTATGATCATTGTTGTTGTAAATATAAATATATAAAGATATCAAATGATATCACATGATTGGATTTGGAATATCCATAGAGCCATAGAATCTACCCTCTGGTAATTTAACGTAACTATGGAAAGATCCACCATGCTATTAATGGGAAAATCCACTATAAATGGCCATTTTCAATAGCTATGTTAGTTCACCAGAGGGTATAGGGACCTTGATTGAAACATATGGGAATTCCACTCGTTGTGGAAAAGCCGAGGCCTTTTACTCGAGCCTTGCAGACGGCCTGCATCGCTCTGCAGGCGACCAATGGTGGATCTCCAAGTCACCAGGGGTTTCAACAATGGTCTGACTGGCATGATTTGGGGTATCCCCAATTTTGGGAAACATGTATTTTAAAAATTCATGGCAATAATCGTCATATGTGTCTAACTGGGGATTTTCGCCAAATTTCAAATTTGACTTCTAGGGAAGATTAGGGAAGTATGGCTGTGTTTTGAAGGGAAGAATCTGTAACCAACTTACCCGGAGTGATGGGATGATGGGATCGCCCAGATGCTGGGATAGTCCATATATTCCCACGCTCCCCCTTGCTGTCAAACGGTGTGGGCGGATATGATATATATATTATTATATATATATATATTTAGTTAGTTATTTATTTAGTTATATAGTTAGTTAGTTATTTATTTAGTTATATAGTTAGTTAGTTATTTATTTTATTTATCTATATACAAATGCAGATAACCTCTATGTATATATAATATGAGATAGATTAGTTCGGCCAATATGCCCCCAGTTCCAACCTGTATGTAGAACTGCGGATAGTTCAGACATAACTGGTTCATTCTACGGAAATATGGATGTTTGATGGTCTACAACTGAGCGCATTCCATGTCTACAACTGGACATATAAATGGGACATGATGCAATTTTGCGCACCCTAGTTTCAGACAGACTCGGGATATTCCATTTATCCAACTGGGGATATTCGATATGTGACAAACTGGGTTACATCATATGGTTCTTACATGTTATTACCAAGTTACTGGATTCCATCCCAAGCTTGGTATGCAAATGTCAGGTTGTGACAACCCTCCTGCACCATGACCTAAACCTGCCCTGGTTCCCTAGAGATAGCGACTTGTCACGACAAGATTCCGAGAGATCGGTGCCAATCCTTATTGAGAGAAGAATAAGCTAGGTCATCAGGGCTGCATCGTGGACACGCGGATGCTGGACGAAACTGTCAAGAAGCGTCATGTTGTTTATTGACATCCAGTTGTTTGGGGAGTTGTCAAATTTGTGCTGGCTTCAGGCGTGAAAGCATTGAGTTTGCAAGCTTGTCAGCTGTGATTAAAGCCAACCAATGTCGCTCGTCTGAGCGAGAGAATTGGAAGTCATAGTTACTCTGAGCTGTACAAGACTTGCCTTGAGGAAGAAACGTTTGTTCTCTCGCTGGACTGGCCGATGGATTGAACGTTTCTTTATTTCCATCCATGATAGGATTGTGATATGTGATTACGTTTCATACGGGGGTTTCCTAAAATGGGGTGTACCCAATAGCTGGATGGTTTACAATGGTGAATTCCTCTTAAATGGATGATTTAGGGGTACCCCTATTTTAAGAAACCTCCATATGGGTTGCTTCAACCACCAGTTGAAATTGCTATCTGGTGTTCTCGATGACAGCGACATGATGAGATCGCGAGGATGGCAAGAGGTTGTTTCTGTCGTTTGGGCAAACATCAAAAGTCATAGTCTCGCGGAGCTCGAAGTTTTTCTTCAACTACAACATCCACAACGTGTCAGAGACATGTATCAAATATATATATATATACATAATTCTATATATATACATCTGTAATATAATTGCATGTCAACGCAAATGTATGTCTATAACATGTAGATAATATGAAGATTCAGGAAATGCATATACAGAATTGACCATACAACCTGCCATGTGCTGGTGCCGAAGAAAAGTGTGATAGGGGGGATGTCTACACCAAGAGCTGGAGTGGTGCTGATGAAGCTATGCAACTTTCAGGGACATAAGTGGACAACTTCACAATGGATGGCAATGGATGGTTCGCAAGAGGTCAAGAGGCAAGGCATCGCAATAATCAGTCGTTTCATTCGAGGCCTATCACAATCAAGCACCTGGAATCTAGGATGGACCCCTCAAGAAAGGGGGTTGGAGATGAGATGTCAGCGCTTCAGCAAGAAGTACAGCGACTGAACCTTCTTGTGGAAGCTCTTTCATTTGCTCGTGCCAACACTTGGCAGAACAACGGTGTCCCTTCAGACCGCCTTGAGCTGTGCTTCAGGAGACCCTAGAGATGTCTCGCTTCAAGCTTCGTGAGGGCTCTGCTGTTTATGCCAAGAAAATTGAAACCAATGAAACTTTGAAATACTTTGAAGGTGTCCTCTGATGGCTCCCTTGAAACCATCAGCAGCAGCCAAGTCCATCAGAGCAGATGGAAGGCATTCCACCGATGGCGGCGCTGTGAAGAGTGCCTATATGGGGGTCCCCAATAGCTGGGTGGTTTATAATGAAAAATCTATCTATAAATGGATGACAACTAGGGGTAGCCCTAAGAAACCACCAAAAAATCAGAAACCAGAGGCTCTTGCCTGAAAAAAATGCAGATCAATGAATCAATGTCCGGAAAAAAAAACGCGTTCAGAACCCATAGCAATTCCAAAAAGGGAAGACTTTCTTAACCTATCTGACCTGGCACAGGACATCCTGCCCAAGTCTCATTTGGTGGTCATGCGTGAGGCGCAAGCGCCGCGCCGCGCCTGGCCGATGCGACGAGTTGTTACCTGAGTTCACCTTCCAATGAATTGGGATGTAAACCATCGAAAATTGGGATGGAAAACGATGGTTGGTGGTTAATAGTGGTTAATAGTGGTTAATAGTGGTTAATAGTGGTTAATAGTGGTTAATAGGCTATAAACCAACAACAATGGGAATATGATGATGATTTGCTTGGTGGTGATTGGAACCATGGAATTTGGAATGACTTTCCATTCAGTTGGGAATGTCATCATCCCAACTGACGAACTCATATTTTTCAGAGGGTTGAGACCGTGTAAAACTATGAAAAATGACGAATTACATGAAAACAACCTAGTATTTTGATTAGAAAGAAAAATGGGGATTCAAACTCAAGATGATCCAATTGAAGACCATATTCTGCGGCTCAAATCCTCGTTTCTCCACAAACGTTCATGGTTTTTGGTTGTCTTCTATCATTTGTATTGCGAATCTTTTGTAATGCCTTGTTTCCCAATCTGGTTGGTGGTTTGGAACATGAATTTTATTGTTCCGTTCAGTTAGGAATGTCATAATCCCAACTGACGAACTCCATCATTTTTCAGAGGGGTAGGGCGAAAAACCACCAACCAGCAATTCTTTTCCAGCTGAAATCACCATTTTCTCCAGCGGAAATCGCTACCTTTTTCGTAGGCGCGGGAACACAAGCGCCTCGGTGGTGCTGACTCCACGGGCGTGGCCGTTGGTGAGGCCCCACGACGGGAAAAAATGCTGGATTTTGAACCAATAAATTTGAGATGTTGGTTGAAATGCTCGTAGATATTAAATGATATTAAAATATAATATCTACATATTATATATATATATGGATATATATATGGATATATGGGATTTTATTGTTAAATGTGAGGGGATCAATCAAGACCCCAATGGTTTGTGTCATTCAGTTTACCACATTGTCAATCTATTATAATTTATACATATTTATACTATATTACTATATCAAGATGAACATCTATATACAGCATTTCATTACACATGTGATTCTGGTGGGTTGACCACATGTAGCTACTAAAAAACGCACGACCGGCAGGAGATTCGTGAACGCGTCCGTGAAGAGATCTATGGACTCTACGAGGTTGGCATCCCAGTACGGCGTCCGAAACGTGAAGGGCCATAGGTCGACGTTGGTGGCTGAAACAGCCATCCGAAATGGTGAAATAGTCGTGGTAAATGGGATCTAATAGGCAGTATTACCTATATTGCATTGTATTTTCAACTATACTTGATCTCCCAGTGACGTTCATTCTTGAAGAGCGGATGACACCAGCAAGCCCAGTATCAGTATGATAGTCTGGATACAGAAAAGAATGAATCAGTGTTCACATCCCGATGATGTACACTGATGCCATCAAAACTGCAGGTTCCAAATTACATCTTGTGGCCATATCCAAATTTGGGGGTCCGTTGAGGCGTATTATTTTCCAACCCTTGTTGGGGATATCCCCCCTATCATTGAGAAATGTTCATCCCAGAGCCTCCTAAACAAGTGAACCAGTTCAGAGTTACCTGGCTGAAAGTGCGGGTGATTTCTGTCGCATATGGAGATGGATCAAAACCTATGAAATTACCATATTTGGAAGAATAACCATCCAGTAACCAGCTATTTGAGGGTATCTAAGGTCCCCTGGTCTTTGACCCATAACCGGCCGTATCCAGCCGAAGAAATTGCTGGTCAGCCACCTGTTCGGCCAAAACACCCAGTCACGAGTCGGTGATTTGTTATTTCCTACTAGTAGTGGTTTATCCACCATGTACTGTAACATACCAAGTATGTATATATACCAGTATCTATATCATATGGAGGAAACTTTGAGAACAGGTCTTTTTGGGGGAGGGCATTTAAGCAGATCCAACACCATTGGAGGATGGGTGCTTTTAGGTCTCGTCCGACCAAAATATGTGGTTATCGGTAAAGATTTGAAAGGGGCATCTCAGGTGTTTGGTGGTTTGGTGGTTTCCATATATTGGGAATGTCATAATCCCAACTGACGAGCTCATATTTTTCAGAGGGGATGAAACCACCAACCAGCCTGAAATCAATAGAAACTCAAGATGTACGTGAATTTGCGTAGCTATTCAGAAATCGAATAAAGGGGGTTCCCTACAAAATGATCTACTTTCATCTTACATCCAATAGCCAACATATCTATTTTGTATGTGTATACTAAATTTCCTTACAATAGCTTTCACAATGTACTGTTCCATATCTATTTTTCTGTACGAAATCCAACCAGCCCAGGATGATCCTGAAAAATCGGCGCAAGTTCTCAAGGACATGGGGGATTTCTTCAGCATCCAACATGGTGATATCACAGGGATCAGTGGAAATGTGGTGGTTGGAAATCTATGGAAATCTCATCTGGTTGGTGGTGACTGGAACCATGGAATGTTATGACTTTCCATATATTGGGAATGTCATAATCCCAACTGACTTTCATATTTTTCAGAGGGGTTGAAACCACCAACCAGTCATAGATCTGATACTAGTTAGCATTTAAGCATCGAAGATGGAGATATGAATGGGGATCCCATCAAATAGAATATGAGAATTGGGTTTGACTGAGAATGGGGGAAATATTGTATCTCATCCCAATTGATGGCTATTTCAGGGGATTATGATGATTTACTTGGTGACCTGGACTGGTTGAGTCTGGGTTAATGGGCTGATGTTGTTGTCGTTGCCCTGAACAATAAATCGTAAAATCGATTCAGCATTTAAAGATCAACATTTTGGCAGGATATCTTCAAGATTACAAATGGATTGTATATGTGGCCATGTTTTATTTTCCCCAATAGTTGGGATGATGATCCAATCTGACTCATATTTTTGAGGGGGGGTAGGTATACCACCAACCAGAGTCCATGTACAGTATTTCCCCTGATGCACCAGCGGTGGAGGTAGTGAACTGATTAGTAACCCCTCAGAAGTGGGTATCGTAATGGATTCATTATAACTTACCATCTGGTTATTTAATGGATGCTTAATGGATGGTTACCCTCTGGTAAACTAACATAGCTATTGAAAATGGCCATTTATAGTGGATTTACCCATTGAAAATGATGATTTTCAACTAACATAGCTATGGAAAATCCACCCATTTTTAATAGGTAAACCATCTATAAACGGGCCATCTATACCATGGCTATGTTAAATAACCAGAGGGTATAACATATTACAACCCACATACTAATCAGTTAAGTAACTCCTTGGCCCATCTAATCATATGAAAAAGTCACAGACCGACATTGCTGCTTCAGCATGGCGAAGAAACGTGTTGCAATGCCTATCGCAATCGCCATGGGTGCATGATGTACAACGAGGAAGGCTTGAAGGTGATGATGAACCATTGGATTTACCGCTACTTTCAGACAAACCCAAATGGAGGTCAATAGTTCATCCTTTCTGACGGATGTGCATCATATCAGGATGATTCACCGCAAACTAATTGGGATGCATATCCAAGGAGGTGCAGGGGGTGTTTAGTACGTGAGCAAACAAGGAATAAAATGGTGTGTGGCCAACATGATTCAAGCAAAAATGTGCTGGTAATCCAGAAAACAACGGTGGCTTCGCATTGCTTTACAGGATTATAGATTGTGTGGGCTAGTGTCGTGAACCATCCAACATTGAGGTATGGAGTTTTGAGTCGGAGCTGGGTAAAGGAGATGCAGTAGGCACAGAACCCACAAGAACAGCGCCAAAAACTGGGGATAGGCCAGTTTCAGGTGTCAAATCCCAAGTTGTCCATATGTTTGATGGTCCAATCGTTTGCCCTCTGGTACTATAGAAAATCACCATCATTTCGAAGTTCGGTAAACCATCTATTTCTATGGATATAAATGGGCCATTTTCCATAGCTTTTTGTATGTTTACCAGAGGGTAATCCCATAAAGTAATCATCAACTCACCATGTTTAATAGGTAAACCATCTATAAATGCACCATTTTCCATAGCTTTTTGTATGTTAGTCATAACCAGGCCGGGTAATCCCAGTTTTAATGTGCAAAGCATCAGCTTCGGGTCATTTTTTCGCAGGAACTGGAGCAAATCACCATGGATACCTCCTCAGTCACCGAGGAATGGCATGGGACTTAGCTGCCCTGACAACCAACAAGTGCTGGTTGGTGGTTTCAAACATTGGTTTAGTATGGGCTAATGATGGTTAATAATGGTTAATAATCACTGGCTGGTGGTTTCAAACACGAATTTGATGTTCCATATATTGTAGGGATGTCATCCTTCCCATTGACGAACTCCATCATTTTTCAAGATGGTTATTGCACCACCAGCCAACAAGCAAGTACACCGAGAACAGACCAGTCTGCATGGTGACTAGCACGTCTAGCACATCACTTCTCAAATTGGGGAAGCCATCTCTGCATTGTCACGTGTGCTATGGTGAACAGTTGGGTTAGATTTACCCATTCATACGGGGATGGTCAAGCCACCATGTTCATAGGGAACCACTTGATGGCCAATATGAAGATTGTGGGATTCCAAAGATGGTTGGATGACCGTAACTCATATACCATTTACCGAGAACCGTATATCATGGTTTGACCATGGGACGTGTGGTTATGGGCCCCTGAAGTGAATGAGCTAGCCATGCCGTCCGACTCAATCGAGCTAGCCTGAGTGAATGGGCGTATTGAAAATGCCACAAAAATGCAATGGTTTAGCATAATTTCCTCGTTATTTTTTAGTTTTGGGGGGCCATCCTCCATTTCTGGTGTATACCCCTTTATATATCTATGAGATGTCCAACAAGCCGTAGAATTCCAGTCCATCCATCATTATCTACTGTCCCAATTGTTGTTTAAAGCCACCAAGAATATCCCATTAGCAAAACCATTCTTGATGGTGAATTCCCTTATATCCCCATCAATATAATCCCAGTATATTTCCATTATCAATATCCCCATTATACAACTATCAATATCCCCATTATCAATATCCGCTCATATATCCTCCAAATGGAGGTTTCCTAAAATAGGGGTACCCCAAATGGACGATTTATAATGGAAAATCCTACTAAAATGGATGATTTGGGGGTACCCTTATTTGAGGAAGGTTTCAAAAAAAAAAATGACAATCCCAGTAGATTTCCATGATATTCCCATGATATTCCCATTAACTATCAATATCCCATCAATATCCAAATATTGCACAGAACCATTCCCAAACAGCTTCCCAAACAGGTGGGGCAATGTCTTGGGTGAAACCTTTGAGGAAATCGACGAGAACTTGGAGGTGCCATGGCTGCTGAGTGGGCCAAGTTAGTTCTTGGTTGGATTTGGCCATGGAAAATGATGATTTTACCCAGAAACTGGCTGAGTTAACCATGGAAAATGATGATTTTACCAAGATCTTGGGGATATATGACATATAACTTAACCACATATATTGGACTATAACTTAACCATAACTTGCTGGAATTGACTTGGCCCATCACTGCAAATATCTGAGACACCTTTGGCAAATACCTTGTTGTTTCTTAGAAAATGAAGACGTGAATCCTAGGTTTGGATTGAACATGGACCACGTTGGAATCTTAAATCATCATTGTGATCATTGACAGTGATGAAGTCTGGCTGGTGTTTGTTTTCACAATGGTGTGGTTGGTGGTTTCAGCATTCAAAAACGCTGATTTAAACATCATCAACGAATGTTTTATTGGCAATGTAGCGTAAGGTATACTTGAAGCATACGTTTGTACTTACTTCATACTACAATTGAGGACCCAGTTTTGGGATCCTGTTCTAATAAAGATGGGATTTATCATTTGAGTACAGATAGGTTTTTAAACTTGGAGAAGTTTAGCATGGTTTGCCGAAACGAAGGAGACCTTAACTGACCTTAACCAAATGTTTCCATTCGTGTAGGACGATGAAAAGGTGACCAGAATCGAGGGTCCAGTACCACGGTCAGAAATGTCAATGTGATGCATCCTATTCAGTGGTTCAACGATATGGGTATTGGTGTGGCTTAGAATTGCCATTTATAGTGGATTTTCCCATTAAAAACGGTGATTTTCCATAGTTATGTTAGTTTACCAGAGGGTATAAATCATAGTTGTCCTCCATCCAATTTTTTCGTGAGCCCAGTATTTCCACAGTGATTGACTTTCTCAATGATTGAATCTTCATGTTTGAAGCTAAAATCCTATTATTTGATCATTCTTGCCAGTCCCGATTTTGGACATGTTGGATCATAGCTAAAGCCCAAGTTTTGATGGTAACAGTATAGGCCACACATGTTTATCTGGTTGGTGGCTTGGAATATGAATTTTATGACTTTCCATATATTGGGAATGTCATAATCCCAACTGACAAACTCATATTTTTCAGAAGGGGTAGGTATACCACCAACCAGTATCAACCATTGTTATAACCAATAATAACCAATAATAACCAATAATAGCAAATAATAGCCAATAATAGCCAGTTATATATATATAGATAAGATATTATGTTTGATGCTGAAATTCCCCATGGATAGGGTAATATCGAAGCTTAGATCTGCCCCTCCAGGCCCTGATGCATCGGCTGCGCTGCAGTCGTGGATCCTTGGTGACTTTGCCAGAGATGTGGCGGGCGGAAAAGAAACACTTCTGTGCCTCCTCAAAGTAGTGCTTAGCCTCAACTGAATTTCTGGTTGGTGGTTTCAAACATAAGTTTTTTTTCCATTTCATATATGGGATGTCATCCGAAACCCATTGACGAACTCCATGATTTTTCAAGATGGAAAAGTTGCACCACCAACCAGATTTGGATGATGCAAGATGAATTTCAATGCTTGGAAATAAAGGTTTTTTTTCTGAAGTTCCATGTTGACTTTTGGAGGTGGAATCCCAGTGGCGCACCGAAAAACCTACGGTGTTTTCCTCGACGCGTTGGCTTTTGGATGTAGGCGAAATGAAGAGAGATGGCCAACAAAAGTGGGGGCATCATGGCATCATGTTGGATTTCATAAGCTCACAAACATGTTTGCAAAAGTTTCGGACTGGAACTTCATAATCTTCATATGATTTGCATTCAAAGAACAGCAAGTTGGCCATGCCAATTCGGTATAAAAACACCAGTCAATTAGATCTGAAGCTCTTGAATCCCCGTTAATCTGGATCCATAGAATCTTCAATGAATACCAAAAATGGAGAGAAAGCAAAGATTTAGATTTGAATTCGGGGGCTGAACATGGCTGAACCACGAACTTTAACTAATCCCAAGAATGCATTCATGGATCGATGGATGGATGGATGGATAGATTGGATTAGAATAGATTAGATTAGATTAGATAGGTAGATACCTCATCATATCCTATGATACCCCATGATGCCCCCAAATAAGAAACAACCAATGCTACAGTGGGAAGCTAGAAACATGAACCACCCAGGCAGGTGGAGGGGCAGTTGCTGTACTGGTGGGGCATTCCTACATCATCCGATCCTTGGACCTCATTGGAATCATGGTTGGGATTGGGGTGACTATATGTGAAAGGTTTTATTTCAGGTTAGTGATGTTTTATCATCTACCCAGATTGGGCCGGGCAACATGGGGATTTCATTGGACCCGAAACGATGAAATGTTGAAATCTTTGGCATGATCGGTAGATTCGAGACGTGAAGCTATCTTGCAACAAGACCGGAAGCATCGAATCGTAGTTTTTTAAGAGGAATTACCCTCTGGTAAACTAACATAACTATGGAAAATCACCATTTTTTATGGGAAAACTCACTATAAATGGTCATTTTCAATAGCTATGTTAGTTTACCAGAGGGTAAGCACCAAGATTGCAGATATGAGACCACAAATGGGGATTTTGCGGATCCTTTTGGGGGGTGGGACCAGGACCTCTGTAGCAGGTAGAAACGGCACAGGAACTGAGCTACACTCCAGTGAACTTGTTCGAAAGCCTCTTTTTGAGAGGCCTCCGATTTCGCAGAGCGATACGACCGCGGGAAATACATTGACATAAAGGTTGCAGTCCCAGTCCAGTACCATTCCATCATCTAGCATTCCTATCTTCCCAGTTGATGTATATACGTAGTAATCCCCAAAAAGATAGAAAAAGGAAGTCATCACTATTTTAGCAGAATTCTATTGTTCTATCGGGGAAGACAGCACATCAAGCTGCGCTTCAAGGCACCATTTTCGATGCGTACCTCATGAAAGGCGCGGCTGACGGCAACACTTAGATTTGAATGGTACGACTCTATGACCATCACTTCAGTGGCATATTCATCAGCACATATGGAGACTTCATTTCAATGGATTGGTTTAAGGGAAAATCTACAGGAAACCATCGATTTTCCCATTAAATACGGGGCTTTCCTGTAAATTTCCCTTAAACCAATCCATTGATAAGTGGACGAATGTGAAGCTCCCAGATGGTCGTCTAGGAATCCACCAATCTTACGAAGCTGATCGTTGTTACATACCCCTACTGAGCACCTTGGGCTGTCTTGGTCCATCGGCGTTGGTTTTCTGTAAATGAGAAGGGATTGTGATCTTTTATTCCCATTCCTTTGTGTTGCTGCAAGTTCGCATTCCCGGGACTATTTCCGTTTCTGTGGCTTACTACAAGCATTTTGATTGCTGCTAATATCTTTGAAATCAGGGATTGGTATGCGAAACCTCAGACTTTGGGCTGGTTGAGTACCCCATGTTTTTGCAATATCCATAAACATCGGACTAGTAAGATCCTACCATTAATGCTCTAACATCCAATTTGCTTTCTCAGTTTGGCTTGTAAAAAATCTGCATTTTTGTCGTTCCCACATGTTCGATCATGTTAGAGGGTCAAACCGCAGTCATGAATTTCCCTTTTGAACCGTTTGGGATGCCGGAATTCCCTACCAGGGGTTTTCCTGGTGAAATGCCCCCATCTGCCGGGAAAAAAATGGGAACTGCACCCACAAAAACGGCAGGTGCCGCCACGCAGTACCGCTCCTTACGGTCCAAACTCATTCCCTGCTGCGGCGTGGTTGCGGCCAGGCCGGACGGAAAGTTCACCAGATTTCATGGTTTGAAGAAATGGAGTTTAGCGAACAAAGGTAAACAAAGGTTGGGGACATTGAATGTGAGATTGATTTACCCTCTGGTTGTTTAACATAGCCATGGAAAATCCCTTAATTATAAATGGAGGTTTATAGCTGGGAAAATCATCTATAAATGGGCCATTTGGTAAGATATGGTTTTTGTTCCAATGGAAAGCTGCTGCTTTTGCCACCAACAAGCGGATTTTGAGAGTTTGACCAATAAACCCGACATCAAACAAGCCAAGATGGAGCCAATATCACCATGCCCTCACCTCGCGACTTGGTCTTCCATGCCTTGAGGATGCCCGTTTTGCTACTCAACACTTCGAGTTTCTCAAGGATTATGCCCCAAAATTCTCCAAGATGGGAACCCCAGAACTTGGAGGAAGTTGATTTTCCCTTGGATATGGCCAGGATATCGCATGGTGAAACCATGGAATTTCCAGGTGAACCCCATGATTTACCACAAGAAAAACGGCATCGTTCCAGGATTACCTGGGATGAGCATGGCCGGAGAGCTCGGCGACAAAATCTCAAGAGATTGGCGGAAAAATCTGGAGATGGGTGAAACACCAGAAAGTACAGTCTGTACAATATTCTAGTATGGTACAATGACAATATATATATAATATAATATAATATAATATAATATAATATAATATAATATAATATAATATATTATATTATATAAGTACATCATATCACAATTTGCACATATATGGATGGTACTCATGTAGATACAATATCATGAAACGGTATAGCTGTAGAACTTCTTGGAGTCCTCACCATCCAGAATAGTTTCAGACCCATCTGGATGATCGAATTCAGGTCCGAAAATCTTAGAAGCCATGCCACTGCTGAACACCACACTGGTCGGGCTGCCCAGAAGCGTCGATGATCGAAGGGCTTGGCCAAGTCAAGTCCTGAAAACGTTTGGTACGTGGAAGAGGACCTCCCAAGTTGGATCCAAAGTGCCTCATTCCATGTGTATGTGTGTATATATTATACATTGGTATATACATATATATATATATATGGTCACACGCACACCCAGAACCCCCCGAAGCATTGCAATATCATCAAAATCGGAAAAAAAAAACTGTGTACATATATATATATATATAGATAGATACAAATATGTAAATAGATATCCATTTGTAGGGATCTATATACCCATTGTAAGGATTCCCATTATGGGACGGATGACTTTGACCCTAGCAGCCCCAGCACATTTGCTATCGAATACCATCGCCCACCACCGAAGAATATCACCACCATCAGCAGTAGGGTCATCGTCATCATCATCATCATCGTCATCATCATCATCATCATCATCATCATCATCATCATCCCTGTTCCCAGTGATAATTATTAGATATCATATATCATATACTACATATATCTCACATATCATACCTCACATACCAGTAGTACCGCACAAGGCGGTGGCGGAAGTTTCAAAAATAGGAAACCTATAGGAGAGCTTGGTTGTTGTGAATCCGGGATGGCAGAGCGAAGCCACTGATGGACTGAAAAGTGCTTGATCTCTCTCACTCTTTCTCTCTCTTTCTCTGACTATCTACCTACCTACCTATCTATTTTCTATGTATCTATCTATCTATCGATCTTTCTAGTGTAGTGTAATGTAGTGTAGTGTAATTTAGTGTAGCGGTGTGTCGTGGAGTGTAGTGGAGTGTAGTTGTGTAGTTCTGTAGTTGTAGTTGTAGTGTTGTGGAGTGTAGTGTAGTGCAATGTACTGTAGTGTGTGGAGTGTATAGTGTAG